CTGAATCGCTATAGATAGTCGGCAGATCGAAACTCTGGACGTGCAGCCCCTCAAAGTGGTTAAGCAGCGCAGACCCAAGGTACCCCTGCCCCATCCCAGGGCCTCCACCGATCAGCAGCCTTGGACGGAAAACGCGCGCCTTCTCAAAGTCCTGCGCCAGCGTCTCTCGGCCAAAACCCGAGTCCGCGTCCTCGTACTGCTCGTATAGCGCCTCCTGAAGGGCCGTCGTCTTCTTCTTAATCGGAATAAGCCCATCCAACAGCACCTCAATAGACTTCAGCTGGTCGCGCAGGAGCGGCTCTACAGCCTTGGGCAAGGGCGCTGCGCCAGATGACGTCGCACGCTCCGAGGAGGGCACCATCTTCTTGATCGACAGCATGAAGTCCTTGGCCGTGATCTTGATCTTATCCGGGTCAACGATCAACTTATCATTCGACGAGTAGATCTGCGGGTACGTGCGCTGAATCGCATTCAGCGCCGCCTCCGTGCACAGCGCGCGCAGATCAGCACCTCCATACCCCTTCGTGACGTGCGAGAGGCTGTCCTTGAACTTATCATCCACGCCCCAGTCGCGGGTGTGGATGTCGATAATGGAGCGTCTGCCCTCAATATCCGGTAGGGGGAAGTAGAACTCGCGATCGAAACGACCCGGCCTTCGCAGAGCGGGATCGATGTTATCAGGTCTGTTCGTCGCACCAATCACAATAACTTGTCCACGGCCATCCATACCGTCCATAAGCGCGAGCAGGGTGGACACGATGGAAGCGTGGATCTGCTCCTGCTTGCTTGAACGCACAGGCGCCAGACCATCAATCTCATCGAAGAAGATGATACTAGGCTGCGTCTTCCGCGCCTCCTCGAACAGCAACCTAAGCTGGCGTTCCGCCTCTCCGACCCACTTACTCAGCGCATCAGCACCCTTGCGCATGTAAAAGGTGATCTTGCGACCCCCTGACCCAACACTCGCCGCCAATGCTCGAGCAAGAAGCGTCTTTCCCGTACCGGGTGGACCGTGGAACAGTACACCTCGAGGAGGGGTGACGTGGAACTTAAGGAACAACTCCGGGTACAGCAGCGGCATCTGCACCATCTCCTTCAGCTGGTCGATGTGACCCGCCAACCCGCCGACCTTGCTGAAATCCACATTCTGGTCCACACCTAGTGGATCCGCATCAGCAAGCGCCTTCTGGCTCTTGATCTTGCCGAGATTGTTTGGCGTCCCCCCAACAGCCGCCATGGGTTCGGTAGGATTCGCTTGTCCGAGACCAGGGAGCAGACCAGCAGGCATGCCGGTCGTAGGCGTCATACCAACATTACCCGCCACGCCGGTCGGCCGCGCCAAATTCTCATCGTCACTACTATCCGAGTCGGCTCCTCCCGCAGCGCCCGTACCCCACGGTCCAGGGCCCGTAACAGGCGTCGGGCCGCCACCACCACCAAATGGTCCATACGTCGTATGCAGCGTGCGCTCCCACTTCGCCTGACTCCCCGCATTACGCTTAGTCCTCCCCGACGCAACTGGCGCCGCATCCTCGAGGTCCTCGTCTGCAGCATAGATCTGGTCCATAGGTTTGATAGTGTAGTCGACGCGTTTGCGCTCGCGGCGGCCCATAGACTCGTACAGGATCTCCGGGTCACGACGCGGTCTTGGCCGACGCCGACCATTCGCCTTCAACTCCGCCGCCTCCTCAAGAAGCTCATCGGCATCAAGGGCCTCGGAGTCGCCGTCGGAGTCGTCGCGTCTGCGCGAGCGTGAGCTCTTCGATTTACCGTGGGCGCCACGGCCGCGGCGTGGGGTAGAATCAGTGTCATTGTCACTTCCCTTGCGTTTGCGGGGCGAGACGTCGGAGGCAGAAATATCTTCTTCCGATTCTTCGTTGGGCTCGAAGTCGCTGGTTTGTTCGAGGCCGGCCTTTTGGGGTTGTGTGCGCTTCCGAAGACGTCTGCCTCCGGGTGGTGTACTGGGTTCGCCCTCGACGGTCTCCTTAACGGTCTGCCCGATGTTCGTGAGTGTCTGGGATACGCTCGTCCGGTTAACACGCGTACGTGAGACCGGTAATTCATCGTCTTCATCGTCGTCCTCCTCATCGTTAGCCCCATCACCAGCAGCAGCAGCAGTTGTAAGTTCCGCGACGAGATCTCCCGTGCCTTCGTCCTTCTCAGAAAATGCCTGCGTATCATCCTTCGTAGCATGACTATCACCAATCTCAATATCCCCCTTCGTCTCCTCATCAACCTCGATCGCCTCCCCATCTCCACCCCACCCCTCCTCCTCCTCAGGAAGGGTAGACTCATGCGAGGCCTCCAAAATCGTCTCCCCTGCCGGCATCTTGAGTCCCTTCCCGCCCCTCATCGGCCTCAACGCCTTCGAATTCTCCGGCGTAGGCGACGACCCCTGCACCACAGCATGTCTCCCCGAATTCGACAGCGCCACAAGCCCCTCATCCACCTCCTCAGTATGCGCCCTCGTATTCCTCCTCGGCCGATTCGCCGCCGTCGTCGGCTCCGCGCTCGCGCGAACGCTTCCCGCGCGAGTCGTCCGCTTCGAGCTGGGCACGGGAGTCTTGACTTTGAGTGTGATCACCATCTTCTTCGGGCTTCTGGTATTTGGCCGGGATATGTCTTCGTCGTCATCATTGTTATCAGTAGCCGCATCCTCTGCATCGCTCTCGCTCTCCTCATACTTGACGCTCTTCTTCACAGCTCCTCGCAGCGGCCTCCCCGTCTCCGTCCGCTCCGGCTCCTCCGCCTCCTCATCGAAGCTCTGGTCGAGCAGACTGTCATCTGTCAAGTCATCGTCATCGTCATCGACGTCCGAGCCGCGGTATTTCGCGCGCTTCTTCTTCTTCGCGCTCGCGCCGCCCTTGGACTTGGAGCGGCCGACGGACTTGCGGCTTGTGCGGCGCTCGGGGCCGGACTCGTAGTCGTCGTCGTTGGAGTCGGATTTGTTGGGGTCGAAGTGTTCGAGTTTGCGCTTGACGGGCATCGTGGCGGTGGGTGATACTGTGGTGTGGTGTGGCGGAGAATAGAGTGTGTCAGACTTGGTTCGATGGATGGAGTTCAGCTGTGCTGCATCGCAGGAGCGACTCTGATGGGAGCAAGTAGTTAGCACAGTGTATCTCCGTATCAAGATCAATGACGGCAACGAAAGTAAACCCACATGTTTCGTTCGTAGTCTCCAACCTTCGTGGCGCGTACCTCTCTCTCCGTTTGTCCCCTCTCAATCCTCCCCAACCGCGATTCCAAACCCGAAACCGCGTATGCGCCGAATCGCCAATGTCCCCCCTAGCTCACTAGCATCCAACGCGCCTCGAGAATAATATCAACACAAACTGACGCAAAAAAACCTCACAAGAAAATCAAAATCCGGGCTCCTATTCCTTGGACAATTGGACGCTTGGTAATTCGATGGTCGCTCTTCTGGCTATTCCCCCATCCCTCAGTCGCGTTTGTCGCTTGGGCCTTTCTCGCTTAAGGCACCAAGGCAGGAATTTTGAAAGGGGGGTGGCGCTAGTGATTCGCTAGTGGCGATTTGAGGCGGAGAGTTTTTGCGCGAAGGTGTCTGGGACGATTGAAGGACGAGGATGCGATGGAGATGGTTCTCATCCAAATTCCTCCCCATAGCTTCATATAATCTCGGAATTCCTCCAATTTTCGCCGGGAGGCATGCGACGGGTATTAGGCTCTGAATTTTGGGCACTTTCGCCGCGGTGAAGGGGGATATTTACACCATACAGGACTCTCTAGTTCTATTTATTCCTTTGTCCGTCTCTCCCATATGCCATCCCCAGGTTCAATCGACCTAGTGCGGCTCGAAAGCTTAAATCGTCGTGCATGGCGCGTTGGTTCCTGACCGCGTCAACGGCCTCATGTCACGTGGTAATATGCACCCTTTCATACATCAGATTAACCCCCTGATCCCTAATCGTGCCGCCTAAAGGTCTAGAGAGAGGGACCGAGTTAGCTGAGGATTAATACTAACTATTTGTGCTGATAGAGCTTATTTCTCTTGTTCCATCTGTTAGTAGCTGGCTTACTTATTGTAGCCGTGAGTGATTGAATGCCTTTAGTTAAAATATAGTTGCTGTAATCGCTGTTATGTGGAGGTCCTCTTTAGACTTGCTACGCAGTTCATACACACAAATCACGTGATATAACCCCATTTCAGCAATGCTCAAAAAATGTGCAATCCGGATGCTTAAGATTCCTAGCTCCGGCACTTCTCTCTAAAATCTCTCTGTGCCATCCGCCACGATCTGACTGTTGTTTAAATGCTCAAATCAACCCGCATTCATTAGCCACATATTATTCTCCACCCGTCTTCACCTCACAAACCATCCATTCAACCCCCCCCAAAATGACTGCATGTGCCCTTCCACTCCCCGCCTTCCCATCGTCATCCTCGTCCCCCATCTCGCTCCCAAGCTGCCCAATCAAGCAAGCAACGAGAGTCGAGAAAGCTAATCCTGAAAAACAACGAAACAACGGAACCCGCAGGACTGGGGAAAACGGATACTCAGCAAGACAGGTAAAAAACAAAAAATCAACGACGCTCAGAATGTTGGATGATCAGACACGGTTCCCGGCGCACACGGGATGAGTTTGTTGGTGACTAAAAAAACGCGAACTGTGAAAGTAGGTGGTGGTTGTGTGGAGATGCGAGTGAGTTGGTGTTATGCTGGTGTGTCGAACGTAATGCCGCACAAAGAGCTGAGGAGAGATGAGAAAGTCATCATGTCGCTGTATCGAGTTTTCCGCGAGGACGAAAATGAAATCAAGTATAGCCAGTTTCCTCCCAACCAACACGTATTTCTTTCGATCGAAAAAAGCGACCAATTTCAAATCTCCCCCTATTTCATGATCTTTCTCGCTAGCCGGCCACCAAATAGAAAAACAGGCGAACGCAAAACGAACCATAATGAGAAAACAAAGTGTGGAGGAGGTAGGAAAGTCACCCAAATGCACGCAAGAAAAAAAAAAAAAAAAAAAAAAAAAAAAAAATCGCTCAAAAGGTGCTGTTTCTCTCTGTGCGCCCATTACACCCCGCAAATGCCATGGAAATAAAAACAACGTTCGATAACGAAAGATGGACGCCTGACCTGAGAAAAGAAAAAAAGCGCGGGGACGTTAAAACGTTGCCGGCTTTGGTAGAGCAGAGAACACCGCCAATTTTTGTGTAGTCGTGATGATCGTTAGAAAAAGTGCGTATATATTTTAGACGTCTCGTGGACTTCCATTTCCTGGAGTTAAAGTTAGTAAAGCATTCAATGGAAGTGGAGGTGTTGGGTTCTTACCATCTTGAACGTATTGAGCTCCTCCTTGATCTGCTGTGCGAGCATCGGCGTAAGACGATTGCATGTGGCAATCTCTCCACGGCGATCATACTCTGTGCTTGCCCACGTATCATGATAGTTCGCTGCGTTCTTCCATGAGATATTGCGTTTCGCAGCAGGAGTTGCAGGCGAGCTCTTGGACACGGTGCCCGTGAAGCGTAGCGCGGACATGAAGTAGTCCTCGCCGTTGAGTGTAATTGACTCGGTGCGGCGGTGTCCGTGAACATCTGAGTTCGGGGTGCTGGGCGCGGAAGATGGTGGCGAGTCGTCGACGCTGGGGATCTGTGGGAGTCCAAAGCTCGGTGTCTTGTGGTCGACTGGAAGGATGATAGGGGATGAGCTTGTGGAGTCGGTACCGGAGCGCTTGAGGATGCCCTTCTTGACTGCGGCAAGGACCTCCGCACGCTCTTTGTCACATCCTCGGATGCTGCGTCTGTGTGCGGAGTCGGATCCGATGGAGACGTTGTCGGTGCTTCCAGAGGCTCTGCCGAGATTGATTGGGGCCTCGAGAGAGTTGGTGTCTGGTTCTTGGCGACTAGTGACGCCGCTTTGGTCCCAAACAGAGATATTGCCGTTGGATTGTGGACGCTCGGCTTCGACGTTCACCATGGACACCTCTGCCGTGCTTACTTGTGGCACCGCGGAGTCCGCAGCTGGGACACCAATCACCGACTTTGGCCTGAAGAGACCGACAAGCGAGCGTGTGGATTTCTTCATTCCCTTGCCCATCTTTCGAATCATTATCGAAGCGGAAGAAGCGGTGGACGAGATGGACAGATTGTCGGTCGATCCCGAGAAGAAGTTGCCCTGACCAGAGTATATGCCTGACCCGAGGCCACCCTCCTCTTGCTTCCGGGCAATTCTTGCCTGCTCAGCCTCTTGGTCATCTTGGTATGTCTGAAGACGTGCGGCGTCTTCAGTGTGGTTCGGGTTCGTCTCTGCCGAGGCTTTTCCCAGTTCGGCGGCGCTGCCAAACGAGAAAGCTCGTCTTAATCGCGATGGCTTCTTCCCTCCCTTCACATTAAGCGCAGCCAACTGCTTCGTAGCAGGGCTTTGCGGTCGCGATACATTTGTCTTCTCCGGTGTATTGAGAGCAGCAGTGACTGCGGAGGCAAATGTATCCTTGGTGACCGCCGACTCGGTACTCATCGTCGGCTTAGAGAGCGGGGAGGGGTTCGCTGTGCGCTTTGTGGCATCGGATGAGGAACCACGGGCAGGAATATTCACGACCTGAGGTTGGTCATGTTTCAATGACCCAGATCCTGCGACGGTTGACGAGGCGGGGTTTATTCCCACGGTTATCACGCTTGAACCTCGCTTCGGTCCCTGCCAACATATATGTTAGCGTATATACACTAGCAGGGGCAGCCCCATCACGATTGGTGGGGATAAATCTAGTCGCTCATGTATGGAAGAAGAGGCCTGCCATATATGGGTAAACTTACGGGTGCTCTTGGCTCTGAATAACGAGTCGTTGGGATCGCCTCATATTGCTGTGTCCTCCCAGGCGAAGATGACGGCCGAATGGTTGGGTAACTTGGCTTCTGGTATGGATCGTTCCGAAGTTGACCTTGTTGCCCAAAATTTTCCAGTTTTTGCGCCTCGTTGTTGAATCCCTCAACTATGTGGATGCTGCGGCGGCGTGAGCGGTCTTCTTTCGCGTGTCTCCGGAGATACATGTCGTCTATAGCACCACGGGATCCGTTGAGTAGCGTATTTCCGGAACTGAAATTCGGCGCTAATATCTGGGGTGCTTGGCCTTGTTGGTGAACTGGTGCTGCATTTGAGTTGGCTAGCAATGATGCACCTAAGGGTGGTTGAGAAGGCAGAGTGGGCAGTGTATCGGCACCACGATGGGCAGGGCGGCGGTAGCGGTCGGGTGCGGCCTTTGTGGGAGTTGATGGGCCGGTGCTAGTAGGGCTGAACGGAGGCGTGGATGTAATAACTGTAGGCAGAGGACGAGTGAGAGTAGTTTCCCATGCTTGAGTAGCCACTGCTCCACCACTGTTATAAGTTCCATCACTTGCCGAAGAACCCGAGAGGTTGGACGACGACGAGGATGTCGTTGTAGACACAGAGGCGGGCGCCGGGTATCGCGAAGGACGAGCACCTGTAGGGACAGTCGGGGTAGAGGCGGTCCTGTATTGTTGCCTGGGGTTGGTCAAAGCTGGCGTGCTAGTAAAAGCATACGGAGCTATTGGTGCCGTCGAGGTATGTCCACGATATGTATTCGATCCAGCAGTGCCTCCTCCTAAGTTGTGGTAGCTATTGCGGTGGACGTTCGCAGAGCCTTGGCCATATTGGTGGACGTGACTCTGAGCAGTGCTCTGGAGGATGCCAGAAGCCGAAGCCGGGCGAGATTGCAGCATAATGGCAGGAGCTGACTGTTGGGGAAACGATTGAACCATGGCAGCCATATTGAGATCGGTATACTAGGGGTGTGTGCTGGCCAGTGAAGGCTTTCAGCTTGATGTTTGTGGTCTATTGGGGTCGCATTCGTGTACGGGGGATATGCTGGAGTATCGAAAGAGAAGGCAAGAATAGCAAGCCTGGATCGGAGATTGTCAGTAAGGTTGTGCTGTATAGGTCTGTGGCACGATGACGAATAAAACAGCGTTCAATGTGGTACAGTGCACCTCGGGGACAGCTTCTGGAACGAAAACGCGTCAACGGGGAGATAAGGGACATGAGCGAACGAACCTTCTGGTCAAATGATGCCACGCCAAAGATATTATAACGAAGTAGGCTATCAGAAGCACAGTGAATGTATAGTAGTGAGTGTTGGGAAGATTTGCCGGAGAGATTCCTGCTCGTTTCCAGGCAGAACACACTGTTACCGTGAGTCTTCTCTTCGGGGGGGGGAGTGCCTCCTCCGATGCTTGCCGAGCACGATGATCGAGCAACAGGTTCAATGGAATCCAGTCGAGGCCTTCAAGAGAAGGAAATGATTGACCTCGATGCCTTTTCGAGATGAAGGCTGTTACGGAGGGTCGAGATCGATAGAGAATTCGGAAGAGGAACCGGGGTAGAAGAGGGCGAAACGAGGGAGTTGGTGGAATGGTGAGGGACAGAAACGGGTACAATCCGGTAAATAAAACAGGGGTGGGGGAGGAGGGGGATAAAAGAGTGAGAGGTTATAGTAGAGAATAGAATTAGGGCAGCACGAAGGGGATATTTGGGGGGGGGGAAGGGGAAGGGGAAAGAGGGTAGAGAAGGGGATGAGGTCGAGAGGAGGATAGATAGGTTGGAGAGAGAAAGCTGTCGACGACGACGATGAGGGTGAGGATGAAAGAATTGAGGAGAGAGGCACACCAAAGTAGAAAGTCCAAACAAACACGCACAGCGGCGTATTTTACCAACGACGACACCCAGCGGCCAGCGACCACCCAGCGGCCAGCGACCACCCAGCGGCCAGCGACCACCCAGCGGCCAGCGATCACCCAGCGGCCAGCGACCACCCAGCGGCCAGCGACCACCCAGCGGCGACCACCCAGCGGCGACCACCCACCACCATCACCCACCACCCACCACCAACCACCACCCACACAGATATATAAGTACCTTTCGTATGAAGTACAGGCACTAAACTACTCTACTGTACGGAGTACACGAGCAGAAGGAGCAGGAGAGAAAGTAACAGGTTTGGATGTCTGGCCGTACTCTTAGGCAGGGGTTTAGTGCAAGTTACAGAGTGGTACTCGAGTACATGCGGCTACGTACTGTCGCCGCCCCCCTGACTTCCCACCAGCTGTACCGAGTATGTACCGAGTATGTACCAAGTACATACTCCGTACATACAACTCCGTACATACAACTCCGTACATACCAAACTATCGGCCCACACCGTCGCCATCCTGGGCCGTTCATTCGTTGCTTTCGGCATGGGCTCCGTAACAAAAATCCCCACATTCCGAGGCTACGACGGTGGCTTGTCTTCTCCTCCTATGGCCGTATGGCGGGCCCTCATAGGAGTAATAGAGTATACGGCTGGCGGATACGGCGATGCTATATATGGCCATGGACGGAAATTTAGAACGGGGGGATGGGTGGAAGAACTGAGACCAATTGATCATCAGCCACTCCTGCTGCTGATCTCAGGGGTTCGCGACGTTCGCGATGTTCGCGACGGTTCGGCAGCGGCGGCGGTGATGATGCGCAGCGCGGCGGCCGACCGACTGAGACATAAGCTGGGCCCTATTCCCAACCCATCCCTCACGGGCGGCCTACTATAGTAAATTGTCAGCACCAAAGCCTTAGTCCCTCCGCATCATTGCCGAGCGGACCATAGTAGTATTTTCGGGTGTTTCACCATACTACTATGGTCCGCTCGGCAATGATGGCTGGAATCGCTAGGAGAGCTCAGAGTGGATCTATCTCATCTCGATCGTCGGAGAACGAGGCGTTTTTACTCCGTATGGTTTCCTTCACGCCCCTGCTGCTGGTGTTCTGCCTCTATAGAGATGGGAGATGGGACTGGCTTCTGCCTCTATACTGTATAGGAGATGGGAGATGGGAGGGAATAAGAACACACTCGAGTTTTGACCTCCCTCGGCCATGCTATACAGTAGCATCGCCGTCTCTGTCGTGGTGACATCCTAACACAAAAATGTATTGCCCTGAAACAGAGCACCTTAATATCGAGTCTGAGCAAAGCCCTGTAAAAACACGTCTCTCCAGTTGATACCAAGGGCTCACGTGATTCAGCCTTGCCATGACTAGGGATTTAAGCTTTAGCGCCTCTAGCGCTGGTCAGCCTTGCGAGCCTTCATGGGGACGCGAGGTACTCTAGGGGGACGCGAGGTAGAGGCCAGCCGAGGTATTGCGATGAGCATCATTTGCATACATAGCACGGTCACAATGGCGCCTTCTATAATCGACGAAATCGTCGAAGACGAGAACTACGCCTCCTCAGAAGACGACGACTTCGTCCCCGACGAGGCCGCCGCCGCGGTCGCCTCAGCATCCGAGTCTGAGTCCGAAGCCGAAGGCGAGGGCGAGGGCGAAGCACCTGCAGCTACGAAAGGGAAACCTGCAGCGAAACGGAAACGCGGGAAGCCTGCTGCCGGTGAGGATGCGGAGGATATTGGGTTTGAGAATTCGGGGGATGAGGCGATTATTGGGAAGGGGTTGAAGAAGCAGAGGAGGCGGAGGAGGGGGGAGGAGGAGGAGGAGGATGAGGGGGGGGAGGGGGGGTTTGTGAAGACGAGAAGGATGGCGGCTGCTGCGTAGGTGCTTCTCTTGGGGGTAACCGGTGATTGGGGAAATGGATGATGCTAACTAGATATAGAGAGGAAGAGCGTGCGCCGCTTGTGGATACGAAGAATGCGACTGTCGATGTCGACGCGCTGTGGGCATCTATGGTATCCGGACCACCCAAGCAACCCGCCGAACACACCCCCCTACCTCCCTCCGACACCCAAGCCCTCGACGCCGTAGGCCCGGTATCCAAAACCGCCGCGGCGGCAGCGTCGGCCCTAACGACACTCCCAGGCCCGAATGGGGACGACACAGTGACCATCCAGCGCACCTATAACTTCGCCGGCAAAGTGCACACGGAAACCAAAGTCGTCCCCCGCGACTCCGCCGAAGCACGCCTCTACCTCGCCTCCAACCCCTCCCCTTCCACAGCCGCCGCGCCCACCTCGACCTCCCCCCCCCGCCGCCCCACCAAACTTGCGCGGCGCTCTGTGTTCGAACCCGTCATCGATACTGCACCGCCACGGCCGGACTTGAAGCTGGGGGTTGGGATGATAAGGGAGAGACTTGTAGCGCAGCAGGAGGTGGAGAAGGGGAGGAAGCTGAATACGGTTGAGAAGAGTAAGATGGACTGGGCTGGGTTTGTGGATAAGGAGGGGATTAGGGAGGAGTTGGAGGTGGCGGAGAGGGGGAAGGGGAGTTATTTGCAGAGGAAGGAGTTTTTGGAGAGGGTGGAGGGGAAGAGGGAGGAGGTGAGGAGGGGGGCGGTTGGGAGGGGGTAGGGGGGTTCTGGGGGAGAGGGGTGGGTTTGGAGTTGGAGTTGGAGTTTGGGGGGTTGCATTGGGGGGGGGGATTGAATGTGGGATTATGTGTAGAATGTATATTTATAATACAAATAGATGGCTGCATCTTAGAACAGCTGCAAAATTTGAATGGAGGAATTATAATGTGTTCAGAGATGCCGCCCACCAGGGCGCCATTTTCAGCCTCGCCACAAGGCTCATGCACGGACCATATCTCACAAAAATTAATTACTCACCTCAGCGCCTCCAACAAAAATCCTCAAGGTCTCCAAATCCACACCCCTCCACCCGACTCTCTCCCCCGTTCCAACAGTGGCGTCCATTCCAAGAATCCTCAGCGCCTGTGCAAGGCGCACCCTCTCCCCCAGCATCCCACGATCCACCCGAACAATGGCAACTGCACCGCCGGAGGAGTCAATACAAACACCCACCGCTCCCACCACCGCCGCTGCAGACTCCCCAAACCTGACGAAACTCCATGGCCGAGCCTTCTACGAGAGTATTGGCAGTCCCAAATTTGTCCTCGCTCCCATGGTCGACCAATCTGAATTCGTAACCACCTCCCCCCCCCCGGCCCCCTTCGCTCCCCCAGCATTGAGCACCAGCTAACCATCCACCAGGCCTGGCGCATGCTCACCCGCTCCTACATGACCCCCGAAAGCACCAAAGACCTCCTAGCCTACAGCCCCATGCTGCACGCGCGCCTCTTCACCACGACCGAAAAGTTCCGCTTCAACCACTTCCAGCCCACGCGCTCCGGTCTTCCCAACCCCCCCCTGTCCGCCCCGCCAGCTGAGTCGGCAGACATATACCTCGACGGAAACCCGACAATCGACCGGCCTCTATTCGTGCAGTTCTGCGCTAATACGCCGGAGGATTTGCTTGCGGCCGCGCAGTACGTGGCGCCCTTCTGCGACGCTGTGGATTTGAACCTCGGGTGTCCGCAGGGGATTGCTAGGAAGGGGGGGTACGGTGCGTTTCTGCAGGAGGATCAGGAACTCATCTACGCATTGATAAATACCCTCCACACCCGCCTCGCTGTCCCAGTAACGGCTAAGATCCGCGTCCTCAAGACCCGCAAGGCGACGCTGGCATATGCGAAGAAAGTCTTAAGCGCAGGGGCTAGTATCCTGACCGTCCACGGCCGGCTGCGCGAGGCGAAGGGACATAAGACGGGATTAGCGGATTGGGCCGCGATCCGACACCTCCGCGACAACCTACCGAAAGAGACGGTCATCTTTGCAAACGGCAATATCCTCTCCCGCGGCGACATCGAGAGGTGTCTCGAAGCTACAGGCGCGGACGCCGTGATGAGCGCGGACGGGAATTTATACGATCCTGCTATTTTTGCTCCTGCGCCGGAGGTTGGGGGGGGGGGAGTATGTATTGGAGGGGGAGGGATGGGAGGGGGGGGTACAGGATGGATGAGGCGCTGAGGAGGTATTTGGATATTCTGTATAAGTATGTACTGGAGCAGACGCCGCCGGTGAGGAAACTGCTTTATGTCCCTGGACAGGCAGAGGCTGCGAGGGATGCGCCGACGCCGGAGGGTGGGGAGGAGCCGCCGCGGAAGCGCGCGAAGACTGGTGCTGCGCCAGCTGAAGCTGTAGCAGCAGAGGCACCCAGCACGGCAGCAACGACGCAGCCAACCACCGGCACCGCCGAGACGTCTTCAAAGCCCAAAAACGCCAACAAGAAACAGAAGCGCGAAAAAACATCCAGCCCCAACCTCCTCGCCATGCAACCGCACTGCTTCCACCTCCTGCGCGCGCTGGTCTCCAAACACCACTCCGTGCGCGACGCGCTCGCGCGCTCTCGCCCGGGGGACATGGAGGCGTATGAAGGCGTGCTGGCGATGGTGGAGCGGGTTGTGGAGGAGGGGATTAGGGAGTACGAAGCTACTGGTGGAGCGAGCTATCACGATGCGCTGGATGCGGAAGAGGGGGCGGGGAATGTGCTGTCGGCGGTGGGGTATGAGGGGTTGGCGACGGAGGGGGATACGGAGGGAGGGAAGACGGTGGAGTATGAGACGAGTGTTGAAGCTGTGAGGGAGTGTAGGAGGCCGTGGTGGGTGTGTCAGCCGTATGTGAGGCCGCTGCCCATGGAGGCGATGGCGAAGGGGAGTTTAACGATGAGTAAGAAGGAGTTGGCGAAATTGAGGGAGGGGGAGAGGGGGGCGGTGATGGGGATGGGGGCGAGGAGGAATGATGGGAGGCAGAATGGCGGGGTGAAGGGGGGGGGGGGAGGGGGAGAAAAAAGAAGAGTAGTGGAATCTTCATGTGGTTGTTGATGGTGTGTAGATATGTGGGGAAGGGGAGTGTGACCCCATGGGGGATGGGATGGGTGGTGTGGGAGGTGTGGTGGGGGTTGCGGATCGTGTGGAGGGTTGGGTTACGGCGACGCCGAGTGCGAGTGTGACGACAGACGGCAGACAGATAAGACGTGGATTCAATGGCTGACTTCACAGGGGAAAGATAGGAAGGAGCACGGACAGACGGTATATAGACGGACGGGAACTCTGTATCATCTATTTAACCCATACGTAGACATAGACATACATACAAATTTATTGTACGTAAACAACTAGCGCAACACCGGCAGATGCCACTATTGATCGCTGTTTAACGCCGACGATCGATAATTGATCGTCGACGTTGAATGGCCGTGGAGGGATCGTAAAAAAGAAAAGTGGTCACGTGAACATGTTCCTCTGAACCGTTGAAGCTGTTGCTCTAACGTGGGAGATAGAAATCTACCCAATTTTCTCCATACAATACAGGGTACACCACCTCGTCCTTGCAAGTACCCCCAGCTAGCCGTAGTAATGGGGCAAGTTTTTTCCTTAGCAGTGAGAGTTTAGCATCGTCATGGCGGTCGCCCCTTCCGAGTGTCAGACCGAGTGTCGGACCGACATGCTAGAGACAACCAACCAAGTCCGGGCCAGAAGATTATGCTATGGACCTTCCATGTTTTCCCGCGTTTGTGTGTGGTGCTGTGCTGTGGGTGGCCGGTTGGTTTACTATGGGTTTGTTAGGCTGGGGCTGAATATGGGCTCGTGGCTGACTCGGGCGACTATGAGACTGTCTGTGGTCTCTGTATGGTTTTACTTACTATGGGTTTGTTTGGCTTCCTATGGGCTGCTTTCTATGGGTTTGTTTGGCTTCCTATGGGCTGCTTTCTATGGGCTCGTTTGGCTTTCTATGGGCTCGTCTTTCTATGGGCTCGTCTTTCTATGGGCTCGTCTTACTATGGGCTCGTCTTACTATGGGCTCGTCTTACTATGGGCTCTTACTATGGGCTCGTTTGGCTTACTTACTTACTATGGGACTCTGTGTGGCTTCTCTATGGGCTAACTTCAGTACTTGCTCTAGGGGCTAATCTTTACTTGTTCTACGTGCTCTAGTGTCTAGTAAGAACCCCCCTAACAACCCCCCTAAGGACTCCTAAAGACTTCTAAAGTCTCCCAAGAACTCCCTAAAGGCCGCCTATAGATCACCTAGGCATGTTTTACGCCGATCCATGCTCTCCCTATGGACAACCCAGACAATATTTCTGGGCAGGCATGGGCAGTTCCAACGGTTAGGTTTCTTTTAAAACATCCTACCCTCGAATCTCTGCCTTCTCTATGGACAACCCATACTTTTACAATATGCAAACGTGTAAAATGGACATCACCCTGTGCATTATTCTAGATCCTCTCTACTCTCTCTCCCCACGTGAAATGTGGCATATTAGTCCCTATACCATAGCACTATATACGGCATAGTCGCCTTCTCTCGCTGCCTTGTACTTATCTCTTAACCATACAGATAGCCTCGTCATTGCCTGAAATGGTCTGGTCACCTTTTTCCCTGCAACATTACCTTTTAGCCCCCTTTCTCTTTTTCGCCCATTCCACGCCAGCCCGCTATTTTCCCTTCAGAATTTCCTTGGCGTTGCCATCAGATCTTTTGTACCATGTTTCTCTTCTGCCTCATTTTTTTTCCCTTTCCCTTCTTTTAATCTACTGTTTTTTTCAAATATCAAAACCCTCTATCTATGCCAGATCCACATAGATTTCCTAGAAAACTCCAGCACGTGTTGCGCATTCACAACATCCCGCCAAGATGGCCAAGGATACAGCACCTGGTGATGTCATCTCCCCGTCCGCCGATAGCTCAGACGGTCACATCGTTCGCCACCGCACCCGTAGCATCGGGCACCTCTCCACCAACAACGGCCCCGACGGGGCGCGCTCGCTCTCCAGCGACTCCCAGGACGGCGCCGACAGCGACGATGCCCAGCTCCAGGCGGAGTTCGGGTACAAGCCCGTCCTCAAGCGCGAGTTTGGCTACCTCTCCACCTTCTCCTTCGCCGTGAGCATCTCGGGCCTCTTCGCGACTACCATGACTACCTACTCCTACCCGCTGGCGGCTGGCGGCGCCGCGGCGGCGGTGTGGTGCTGGTTGATCGCGGGGTCCGGGTGCATGTGTCTCGCCTTCTCCGTCGCGGAGCTGGTCTCGGCGTACCCTACGTCTGGCGGACTGTACTACACGGTGTCGCGCCTGGCGCCGAAGAAGTATGTGCCGATCATATCGTGGATCACGGGCTGGATCAATCTTCTGGGCCAGATTGCTGGTGTGGCCAGTTCAGAGTACGGCGCCGCGCAGATGCTGCTCGCGGCCGTGGCCATGGGCACGGATTTCAAGTATGAGATTACGCAGAACACGACGGTTGGCGTCATGGCTGCGTTGACCGTGCTCACGGGGCTGGTTAACTCGCTGTCCACATACTGGATTGAGAAGATGACCAAGGGATATGTCATTTTCCACATTGCCGTGCTGGTGTCGTGTTGTATCGCCCTGCTCGTCAAGACGGAGAACAAGAACTCAGCGAGCTTTGTCTTCGCAGAGATCGAATCGAGCTCCGGGTGGCAGCCAAAGGGGTTCTCATTTTTGTTCGGATTCCTCTCCGTCGCTTGGACCATGACCGATTACGACGCCACGGCCCATATCACAGAGGAGATCTCGAACCCAGCCAAGAAAGCGCCCTGGGCCATCTCTGCCGCCATGACATTCACCTACATCGGCGGCTTCCTCTTCAACATCGTGCTCGGCTTCTGCATGGGCCCCTCCTCCGCCGACATCCTCGGCGCCTACCAGCCCGTCGCCATGATCTTCTACAACTCCCTCGGCAAGGCCGGCGGCATCTTCTACACCGTCTGCGGCTTCATCATCATCAAGTTCGTGTGCTTCACCGCCCTGCAAGCCACGGCCCGCACCTTCTTCGCCTACTCCCGCGACCGCCTCATCCCCTTCTCCCACGTCTGGACTGAAGTCAGCACCATCTCCGGCACGCCCCTCACCTCCGTCTGGCTCAGCGTCGTCCTCTGCATCCTGATCAACCTCATCGGACTCGGCTCCTACACCGCCATCTCGGGCGTCTTCAACGTCTGCGCCATCTCCCTCGACATCTCCTACTGCATCCCCATCGCGTGTAAGCTGATCTTCGGACAATTCAAGCCGGGGCCGTGGCACATGGGACGATACTCAAAGTACATCAATACGTGGGCCTGCATCTGGACCGCGTTCGTGAGCGTCATCTTTGTTCTGCCAACCGCGTACCCCGTTGCGGCTGATACGATGAACTACGCCTGCGTCTTCTTGGTCGCTATCTTTGTCTTCGCGTACTTGTACTGGATTGTGAGGGGGAAGCAGTTCTATACGGGACCGGTCGTGGAGGGGTATGAGGCGCCGCAGGTGGGGAGAGAGGGGGAGGAACGGGAGAGTGGGTTAAGTGGGGAGCTAGCGGGGGAGAAGGTGGCGTAGGGGGGTGATGGGGGGTTAGTCCGTGCATATGGGTTTGGCTAGAGGTGGTGGAGGGGTCTCAGAAAGCGAGGCTTGTGTGTATATATTTATTCCCTGTATGATAGATAGGTTTACGAATTGGGTTTCATTGCCAATTAATGGGTGGAATGGAGATGTGCTGCACATGAGTCGGAAATCGGCAAGAAAACCATAGCAATGGATCCATCCACGATACTAAGCGATGACAAGTAAACTTCTCACCTAGAAATCTGAACAGAAGATAGGGGCGAAGGGAAGGATCATGGGGGGTAGTGAGAAGGAATAGGGGCGGAGAGAAAGAGGAATAGGGGCGGAGAGAAAGAGCAAGGGTGGTGAGAAAGACGACGCTGGTGAGAAAGACGACGGTGGTGAGAAAGAGGGTCGACGACGACGCATGCTTCAACAGTGCTGAGCAGATAACGGGTGAGTATTATTTATGTTATTCGGAGGGCCTGCCCAAACCCCCCGAGTAGCAGAAGGGTTTGGTGAAACCTAATGCGCGGGAGTTCTGAGGCAATCGGCTCACGCCAAGCACCAATTGGGGAGCCTGACGATTAATTACACTGGGAAAAGCTGCCATTCCAGGGCCAAAATGCCACGTATCCCACGGTGCACATCCTCTTTCCCCAACAGGCACAGTGCAGGTGTGAAGCACGAGATCAAGCCGTCTTACTTAATCCACTTTCACTTTCCCCAGAACTCGTCGCATTCGGCAAGTTACTGCACAACAAAATAAAGTACGTATATTGTGGTACGGCATCAAGTCACACTAAGGCGTCAACATCAGCCTACTATATTCTGACTTTTGCTTACTTTGGTAGTTGCGAACCTGGCCCCTTGACAACCACATAATTGGACCAGAGAGGTGGGGGCGGGTGGGGGGGAGTGGAGGACCCTTTTGCAGATGGTGTCATTGCAGGCATAAAGTAACGATCATTATGATCTGCCATTCAGTCGGTAGCTTGATATAGATTTCGTATATATACCAGCACATAACCCGAGAGGGTTAACGATGGGCCCCATTTCTTGATTTCTCATTCTTTGCAACACCCACGGCAACATCTAGCTCAAAGAAGCTTCTACCCTCAAATAGGACGTCATGGTGGAGATAGAAGAAGCTCCTTCGCCATCGCCATCGCAGCGTAAGGCAGATTTGTCCCCGCCGGTATACGATGACTCTAAGCTTGAGGCCGGAGTACTCTCGGTGACCGAGGGAGACAACTTTCGTAACGCGGCAGATGATGTGGTTGCGGCACTCCCCAAGGGCACAATTGACCCGGTCTATGAGGCGAAAGCTCGTGTCTTGAACCATGCGGTAATTTAGCCAGAGGCCTTTTCCCAAGAACTCCGCCATTGTCGGCTAGCTCATGGCTCAGATACTTATTGCTCCCAGATCCAAGAAATCGGGATGGGCTGGTATCAGTGGCAGTTGTTCATCGTCGTGGGGTTTGGCTGGGCAAACGACAATCTGTGGCCCATTGTGACCTCTTTGATATGTAAAGATTCCTCGCTCAATTCACCCTTGCCTTTCTTGCAGGAATGTTAACAGCTTGCAGTTACTCCGATCAAAAACGAGTTCAATCCGTCTAAACCACCGCTTCTCAGTCTGGCACAGAACGTAGGCCTCCTTGCAGGCGCTATGTTCTGGGGCTTTGGCTGCGATGTCTTCGGCAGAAAATGGGCTTTCAACCTGACACTTGGTATCACAGCCGTATTCGGTCTTATCTCTGCTGGCTCCCCCAACTTTGCCTCCATCGGAATCTTTGCCGCCCTATGGAGCTTCGGCGTTGGTGGTAACCTACCAGTGGACTCGGCCATCTTCCTCGAATTTCTCCCAGGGTCACACCAGTATCTTTTGACGGTTCTCTCAATTTATTGGGCAATTGCTCAGGTCGTGGCTACTCTGGTTGCCTGGCCGCTTTTAGGGGGCCACACGTGTGAAGAGAAAACAGTGTGCCATAGATCTGATAATATGGGCTGGAGATACTTCGTCATAGTGATGGGCGCGATATCAATGGTTGAGTTCTTTGTCCGCTTTGGCTTCTTCACGGTCTTCGAGTCCCCAAAATACCACATGGGTAAGGGCAATGATGAGGAGGCCGTCCGGATTGTCCATGAAGTCGCCAAAAGAAATGGAAAGGTTTCCAACCGTAAGCATTTGCAACCGATCACACCATTTTCCTGGCTAACACTCCCAGTAACTCTCGCCGACCTCCAAGCCTGCGACCCGACTGGCGCTGGTGCACAAACCGACGCAGCTGCAACTCTAAAGCGCAAGCTCGAAAAGTTTAACCTGACGCATGTGCGCTCCCTCTTCGCAACTCCAAAACTGGCACTATCGACTTCCCTGATCATTGTTATATGGGCCTTTATTGGATTGGGCTACCCTCTCTATAACACCTTCCTGCCATACCTACAAGCAATCCGCGGCGCTGAATTCGGTGACGGGTCAACTTACCTTACCTACCGGAACTCGCTCATTGTGGCCGTCCTCGGTATTCCTGGCGCGTTGATAGGCGGTGCCCTAGTTGAGGTCCGCGGCTTTGGGAGGAAGGGTACACTTTCTGCCTCAACGGTTCTCACGGGGGTGTTCCTTTACGCCTCAACCACGGCAGTGACATCCAATGCACTGCTTGGCTGGAACTGTGCCTTTAACTTCTTTTCGAACATAATGTTTGCTGTGCTTTATTCGTATACACCAGAGGTACCAAAAACAATTCACTTTGGAATTGACAGAAACTGACATCTTGAAGGTGTTCCCAACAAAAGACCGTGGGACAGGCAATGCGCTCACTGCGACGGCAAATCGGATCTTTGGGATCATGGCTGTAAGTGCTGCATTCATTTCACCTGTTGTGGAGTGTCGTTTGAGAACGAGATGCTAACATTAGCTCTCAGCCAACCATTGCTATGTTTGCAAACCTAGAGACGTCAGCTCCGGTGTATACTAGTGCAGCTTTGTTCATTGCGGCGAGCTTACTTGTTATTATCCTGCCTTTTGAATCACGGGGGAAATCGAGTTTATAACTTGTATCTAGCAATGGAAGGATAGCTAGAGTGTTGGCCATTAGGTGTACTGATGCTGAATATCGAGTAGTATATAAAACCTATTATAAGGTTACAAATGCAGAATTATTATTTGCTCTAGCCAAATAAATTTGATAGCAGTAAGTTTGTAAATCTAGTAATGGCCGGCATTCTAATATTAGTTTTGCCTCCTCTTGGCTCGTATCCTTCACGGCAGTTGGGGCGGTGGCTTATAATCCCGATCTCGCCAACTTGTCAATCATCTTCTAAACACCGCACGATCCCACAACCTATCATGTGCCATCAGGTTTAGGCCTATACGACAACGAGGCTGAGGATCAGACGCGCCTAAGTTTCCACCAGGGACACCTCACTCTGATCATCTCCTAAGATGAAAGGACTGGAATTACTCGCAAAGGCTCGTTGGTCAGAAACCGCCTCCACCCCAGACACGTCAGGCCTCGCCACATTCACACCCTTCCCCCGCCTCCCCACCGAGCTCCGCACCGCCATCTGGCGCGCCTCCCTACCATGTGACCTCCATATCGCTGAAGTTCGCATCTGCAACAAGAGCATCGCACCCCATCTCCCCGCCCACACGATCTTCAGCGTCAACCGCGAGTCCCGCGCCGAAGCATTCCGGGTCCTGCTAAACGCCCTGCCACCGTACAGGCTGCCCGCCGACCCGCAACAAGATATCATCTTCCTCGACCCCGGAAATTGGAATGACCTATCCCACATGTCTGTCGGCAAGGCACCTATACGTGCCGCTGTTTGCGATATCGACCGTGCCCACCGCTTCATCGCTACGGCGATGGTGGATACCGACGGAGGCCGGTTCGATAGCCTGCCAGTCGACATGCGGTTCTACTCGCCGTATGGCCACAACAATTTACCTGCGGGCCCGCGAGACTTTCAAGTTAGGCCGTTGAGGATGGATTTTGTTTGTGTTGCGAGAAAGGTGGGGACGGGGAGGAGGGGGTTGGGAGGGGGGTTCTACCTGAACAGTGCGGATGGTGAGGATGGGGTGGTGGGGCTGGGTGGTAGGAAGGATCAGGGGTCGAAGAAGCCTGCTTTGCGAATTGTGTATGTGTTGTAGTGAAATGTTTGGGTGGTATATGAGATTACTTTGGGGACCAGGCGGGGGGGGCGCTGCAATTTAAGTGTGCTCATTCTTTATTTGTTGGCTTTGGCAATCTATTTTGCACGCCTATCCATGGGCAAGGTATCATTTAGTTTGCAAAGCATCTTTTTGGATGGAAGAACGGCGGGAGATGGTAATTAGCAGGTAGCTTTCTAAGACGTAATCGGGACGGGCTTATATTTCATGGGTACACAAGAGATGGTGCATTAGACCAGATAAACGTTGGATTTCGAAAATATAGCTATATATCTCTATAATCCGTTCGAACAATCCGTTTCGTTGCTTCATTATTAGGGGGGAAAGAGTGTTTAGCTCGATGGTATTCTTGGAAATTATATCCAGGTCCTTCTCTTCTTCGCGTTTTTATAGGCAGACGGCGGCGGCGTTGAATGCTGCCATCGCTTTCTATTTTCGCTTGCAAAAGAGAAAAATAGCTCCCTCTTCCGACGTTCGAAGGACTTGGACAGGGCCTGGGTCTGCCTTCGAGCCGCCGCACCTTTATTGTGTCCCGTTTCCCCAATCTTCTCGGAGTGCTACAGACGGATTTATTGGGTATTTCTCCGCGTCTGCAAGAATTAGAGGCTGATATCTGCTTTGCAGCCGCTCTCTCCTCTATTCCTCTCTGCCATTCTTTGACTTTCGTGAGCTCCCCTGCATTTGGGGCCTCTACCAATCGCCATGAGGCGTGGGGTTGCTGACGAACGCTATGGGATTTCCATAGAACTTCATTCCCTCCGCTTTGGATGCTGCACAACACACCCACTGAACAGTTCCAGTCAATAGCATTGTAATCTCACCCATAACAGCTGTCGCAAAGTTTAAGGACCGAGGCCAGAAGCTGCCATAGAGCGCGCGGGACTCCATTGTGGATGCATTCAGCATGCGACGCTCCGGATTCGTCGTGAATAGACATTAGAAGGGCGTAGTACCCAGAAATAAGCACCAAGTCGGAACATCGTATCAGAGGCTGAAATCGACATTGCCCAAGGACGCGACAATTTTGTCTTCGTCGGTTACGTGTGTTGCTGATAGCGTTGTGGACGGAGAAGATTCGATTACTTCACCACTGGTTCTAGTAATGTTGTGTCCAGTGCCATTGCTACTAGCACCAGTGGCATTAGTTCTTTGTCTCAGTTCTTCCCCCGAGGCAATGTCTATCGCAGTAGCGTTCACTGCAGTAGGGTTCGCTTGGCCCTGTCTGATATTCTGAAAGGACCATGTGGGCTCAAAGCTCTGTGATTGCCAGGCGTAGCCGACTCGCTCGTACATTTCATCAATTTGTTCGAGTGTGAGCTTGGAAGTTTCATACACCATGATCCAGACGAAGAAGAAGGCGAATATACAGCAGATTCCCCAGACATAGAATATCTGAGGACCCAAGTCCAAAGCACCTGAGCCGCTTCCTAGAAGGTAGGGGGTCGTGTATGCGATTATAAAGTTCAACAGCCAATTCGACGAGGTGGAAATTGACATTGATTTGGCGCGGACTTTCAGTGGGAAGATCTCTGCGGTAACGACCCAGCATACTGGACCCCATGTAGAGGCGAAGCAGAATAGGTAAACGCATATGAACGCAGCGTACAACTTATTCGAAGTATCCGAACTCAAGCTGTGGACTGAGCCGACTGATGCCACAATCAGCTGGCAAACAGCCATGCTAATAGCGCCGACCATAAGCAGTCGGCGCCTACCGAGCGACTCGACAAAAACGATGCCGGGAAGTGTTCCAATAACATTGACTGAGTTTGCGATCACCTGAAATAAAAACCCTGAGCCGATGACTTGGTCGAAGAACGAGTTTCCAAAGTAGAAGATAAAGTTACAGCCGCTCAATTGTTGTAGCATGAAAAGGCCACAGCCGGTAAGAAGGCGCCGGCCGAGGTGAGGCGTTCCGAAGAAGACGTGTCGGTAGGTAGATGGGCCAAGGGAAACCTCGTAGGCATGGTTCGCTTCAATTTCCGCAATCTCGTCAACTAGAGCCGGGTGCGTGATATCTAATCGTCGAATGCGTGAAAGTGACGCTGCAGCTTCGGCATGGAGGCCACGTTTGATGAAGTATCTCGGTGTTTCTGGCAGGACGATCATGCCCAGTACGAGAATCGCTGCCCAAACGTACTGTAGAGCCACGGGGATTTGGAACGACGCAGCGGTGTCGATTCTGTTGGAGAAATATTCGACTATTGCAGCAATAAGAAGTCCCACTGTGATTGCCAGTTGATATGTGCAAACTAAGACTCCGCGAACCCATTTCGGTGCCATCTCGGATTGATATAGAGGGACGATGACAGAGATCATGCCCACGCCTACCCCAGCGACAAATCTAGTTGCAGTCAGTATTGTCCGATCATATATTCGATTGATGTCACATACCTTCCGGCCACATACAATGGGAGGGCCATTGACGCGACTTGAAGGGTGACTCCAATTGCGAAGACGCCCACGGCAATCATCAGAGCACGTCGGCGACCAAGCTGATCGGCAAGGGGAGCTGCACCGAGCGCGCCGACAAATGTTCCAGCGCTGAGTATAGACACGACCTCGGCGGTTTGGGCGGGAGTCAAGGCTCTCCTAGAGGGGTTCTTGGGGTCGACTTGTGTGGCGAATTGATTGAGCCACCAGGGTGTGGCGATGATACCGCTGATGATCCTGCAAGCCCAAAGTTAGCCATGCGTCCGTTCCAAGCATTCAAGGCAGATCCCAAGGTGGTGTCATACCCAGTATCGTAACCATAGAGGAGACCACCGAACGTGACGAAGAGGCCGATCAAGATAGCCGGTGCAGTCGTGCCGGCGACGTTGTCTGGTTTTTTCCAGAACATAGCGACTGCAAGACCCTGCCTCCAGCGGAGGGCCCAGGTCGTTGTTGTTATCAGCTTCTGGCGGGTTTCGTGGATGACAGGGTGAGGTTTGTTTAGTTGTCGGTGATCTGCAGATGATTAAAGTGCGGAGAAAGAAACATCATTGGATGAGATGAGGTGTAATCGAGCAACAAGTGGGCACTTGGCGGTAGCAATGGTGGAGCCAAAATTTGGGGTTCTTAAGGTTCTGGGGTGGGGTGGAGGGAGGATGCGGAGGTGTGGAGTATAAGTAGATTGTAGATTGGCACTCGTAAGCGCGAACACCAAGGAAAAGGAAGACCGAGGAGAGTAACACGAATAAACGACTGCCAACAGCAACAATAACAATAATGTCTCACAGTAATAAATGATGCTGAGACAGAGAGCATGATAGACGCCTAGTAGATAAGAGGCTATTGTGATATTTATGCGTCAATATTGATGGCTGATCACCTCCGAGTAGAGCCAGCCCCCTTGGCACCTCGGCATTGTACAACAAGACGGTAAGGTGCATAAGAGGCTATTGAATTCCCTATTAAGTTTGTAGAGACTGTGTTGCTGAATGAATGCAGGAAGGTTTGAGAACCGGATTTTGACCGCAGGCCCCTTGCTTCCACAGCATGGTGCAACGAGACGGCAAGGTACATATATGCGCCAACACACTCAACCAACCATACGTTGGCTCTATTTCCTCAGCCTTATAGCTCTCTTCACAACAATCTGATCCCAGTTCACGCCATCCATTATTCGCAGATTCACAGGCAATATCTGCGGCCATATGCTCTGTCTTGCATCTGGCCATTTCGCCGCTTCTTCCGGCAACCCTTCTTTGCCAATATAAACGGAGACACTACAGGTCGAGCGGAACTTGTGCTGCTGGAATTTGCGGCCCATCATGTACGCTTTGGGGCTGTTGCTAGGGTCTGAGATGGAGACTTGGGGACGGAGGGGGTAGAAGAAGATTGTGCCATTCTATAGCAGTGTTAGTTGAGGAGATTGCCGACCGACAAAGGTTGAGTAGGGTAGTAATAACTGCAAGGAGATATAAAATACGGGGTTACAGTATAGTAAGTAGATACATACCTGCATGCAAATACTGCAATTGCATTCCTGGACATATTCCGTATGCTCTGCGAAGGGACCTCCCGGTCCTCTAATTTCCGGCACTATTTGCCCCTTGCTTGGGAGAGGCTTTGCCTTGACCGCTACGCTCACATTGCCACAGTCGTAGCTCCCAGCCAAGGTGGTGGAATTCTCAAAGTTGGCAAAGGGCCGGCGAATTCGTGCGGCTTGTATGCCGGCTCAGTGGCAACACCATCGTATCTGACATTGTTAGCCGGTGGAAGGGCTAACTTGGGTCTGAGAGAGCTTCTCACGGCTTGCCCTCGAGGGCCCATATATCGACATCCATCAATGTCCTGGCCTGCAATCATAATTAGCCAGGTAAAGGAATCACAATGGCCTTGCGTACATTAATCCCCACATCGGCGCTCTGGCTTTTACCATGAGGAAAGCCCAAGGCGTTGGTTCCGCAAGTTGGGCAGAACTATGGTCGTGAGTTTCGATGTTCTATAAGTTAATGATCGATGATACCTTATGAACCGTGGAGCCAGCTCCAAAGTCGTACGTTTTCAAAATTCCATCTCCCCTAACAATATTGAAATGGATCGTATCTGTAAATATCAATTTGTAGTCATTCCCAAAACAAGTATTGCAGTTTCATTCAATGAAGCTTTTCAACTCGGGAATTCTCCTGCTTAATTATAACCCGTCCATATAAACTCCCATCAGAAACCATTCACCCGTCCATGTAATTTTCGCCACCAGCTCCCAACTCATTTGCAACGTGATCGTAATCTTTACTTGTGATTAAAAAGGCGGCCGCCGACGGGGGAGAGGCAGATGGTAGCCTTTTCGAAAATCAGACATTAACAAATAGAAAAGATGAGATTAGAAACTTACAAAGTAGACCCGAATGTATACTTCCAAACAAGACAGCAAAAGCCCGCAGAAACCTCCACAAGATACCAAATCACAGGGCTGTAGGCCCACAGTCTGCGAAAACCTCTGTTGACCTTGTTGACATAGAGCTTGTTCTTAACCTCGGCGATTTGATCTCTCTGCTCAAGCTGTTGTAGGCTCTCACTTCGAGGTCGTGTGGCGTTGCCAGAAATTGGCTCCATCTCGATCTGAACATCTTGTTGAGACATGGTCGAGTGTTTCAAATTCTTTGGGCTTCTATTTCGATGAATGTCTTCCGTATATTCAGGTAATGGCGTGTACTCGCCAGATGAATTTGCGTTCCAGAATGGTAGAATGGTCGCCATGATGCCAGCATCGATGGACTTTAACTTGTGGATTAACTGTTGGAAGGTGCGTTGGTGATGAAATAACAGCGGAAGCTGAAATAACAGGTGACCATAATCCCTCCCCCCACCCACCGCATTCCAACACGGCCAAGGATAGTAAAAGGTGGCACTAATTTTGAACTTTAGTATAACGTTGTTTATCAGGACCCTGCGCATATCAGGACTCTGCGCACTTTTCCCTGCCCTTCCCACTTCAAAATACAATTAAGTAACCACAACATATTAAATTAACTAAAGCTACTCGGAATCTGATAAGCTAGATACATCTACAACTACTTGACAAGTTCGTGCATTATGACCAGTCTTTCTGCAAGTGCCACAGCGCCGTCCAGCCGATTGACCCTCGTTTTGAAAAGCCTCTCCAGAGCGCTTGTCACGTCGAATTTGCTCATCCACCTCCCTTTAAGCCAATACCTCCTTGGCAGACACGAGTCCTTTTGGCCCTACGGCGTTTGCTAAGGGCTTGATTTGCCTGGCGAAGAGTACGGATCATCATCCACCTTTTGCTATTCTTGTAGAAAGCATAACATCTACCCATTTACCTTCCCTTCTTATCTTACTCATATTCTACAACCTCCTTGATGTTGGGATATTTCAGCCATACAAGCATTAGCATAAAGTTGCAGTCCAAACAGCAATACGGAATCTTGATCTACAATATGACCTCTCTTCTTTCCTACGTGATTTACTAAACAATTAGAGCAAATACCTTCAAACCTCAAACAATTATCCATGCATTTCGGAAGGCAGGAATATGGCTAGAGATAGTGCTATATCTCTACAGAAGATTCAGAAATACTCAAAACCAACCAACACTCAAGAAGATGAAGGACAGCAACTTTTACCAACTTTGAAGGGCTCTGAGAATCAACTCTAAGCATGGAAAGACAAGTTTACACCTCTATTAAGTAGCCTATCAAAGAATCAATTTTATACATCAATCAAGGGAATGGAAGAGGTTTTAGTAGATGCACAGAAATGAGAGTTTGACTTCTCTATGCTATAGGGACGGGTTTAACAGAGTCAGAATCGCAAAAGCAAAAGCCACCATACACTACAATTTGGAGGTGCTTTAACTGCTGCTCATGCACATGCTACAATTCAACAGAAGGCACAAAAGGAGTTTGATAAACAAGAGAAGCAAGTTGCTAGAATAGCAAAAGTAGAGGCATCACAAGCAAAGAAAGCTCTTCATCAAGCAGGTGTAGAAGCACGGAAGAGAGAGATAGAGAGGAAGAAGAAGGTTACAAGGCTTACTCGGGCAAAAGAGTTTATACCAATTGAGCTCTTGACCCCTACGCCACGAACGTGTAGTATGTGTAAATCACTTAAGCATACTGCTTGTACTTGCCCTCAAAAGGTTTCAATTGTAATTAGTCTAATTTAACGGGGTTTAGTTTAATAAGTTATATATTTAATTGAGGTCTGGTATTTACAGTAGGGCAGAATTACCGGCTGACTTGTATTACCGACTCACTCGTGGAATACGTTATGAGTATTTGAGTAACTCGTGTAACTCATGAGTATCATGAGTATCTGTGCTAACCCTGTTGATTGACCTACGGTACTATAGAATATCAGTTATCAATAAACAGAAGTTGCATCCTCAAAACTTTTGCCTCCCCTACCCTCCGCCACAAGCAACTAATGCGGCCACACCCAGTTAGTAATTTCATCCGGGTCGGTTCCATGCTCAAACGCCCAGTTCCGCATCCTGATCTGCTCATCCAGCAGCGCCTCCCTCGTCGCTGCCCCCCTATTATGCAGCTGACCCTCCAACCGCTGCAGCGCGTCCATAGCAAGACTATACCGATCCGTCTGGTTCCTAATCGCCAACTCGAGCGGCGTGTCGATATTACCCTTCTCGCGGTATCCACGGACGTGCATGTTCGTGCTGCCAGGGCGCTTGTACGTCAGGCGGTGGATGAGGAAGGGGTAGCTGTGGAAGTTGAAGATGATGGGCTTGTCGGCCGTGAAAATCGCGCTGTAGGCGGAATCGGTGAGACCGTGGGGGTGGTCCGCGGCGGATATGAGTTTGAAGAGGTCGACGACGTTGACGAAGCGGACCTTGAGGTCGGGGAGGTGCTGGCGAAGGAGCGCGACGGCTGCAAGGGCTTCTTGAGTGGAAATATCGCCGCAGGCGGCCATTATGACGTCGGGATCGGCGTCTTTGTCGTTGGAGGCCCATTTCCAGATTCCGATACCTTTGGTGCAGTGGATGACTGCGTCGGGCATGGACAGGAACTGCAGGTGCTCTTGTTTGTCGGCCACGATGACGTTGACGTAGTTCTCAGATTGGAAGCAGTGGTCCATCACCGAGAGCAAGCAGTTGCCGTCGGGAGGGAGGTAGATGCGCACAACTTCAGGAGACTTTTGCGCTACGACGGCCAAAAATCCTGGATCTTGGTGGGTGAAGCCATTGTGATCCTGGCGCCAGACGGTGGCGGTGAGAAGAATGTTCAACGAGGCGATCTTAACACGCCATTCAGTTTCAAGTGCCTTCTCAATCCACTTGCAGTGCTGGTTCACCATGGAATCGATGATGTGGATAAATGGCTCATAGGAGTTTAGAAGGCCGTGTCTCCCTGATAGGATATAGCCCTCCAGCCAGCCCTCGACAGTGTGCTCAGAGAGCATCTCCATCACACGTCCTGCAAATGCGAGGTTTCCTTCGTCGGCATCTTCCTCAAACGTCTCAGCCATCCAAACCTTCTTGCCAGCCGAATAGATTCCACCTAGCTTGTTGGACTGAGTCTCATCCGGTCCAAAGACGCGGAAGTTAGTCATGTTCTTGGCGACGATGTCGCGGAGGAAAAGGGCCATATTTTCCATTGAGGGGCCTAGCGCGTGCCCATTTCTGGCCACTTCGATTGCATAGTCGCGGAAGTCTGGGATATGCAATGGCTTTCGCAATATCCCGCCGTTGGCGACGGGATTGGCGCTCATACGGCTGTTGCCTTTCGGGGGAAGCTCCCTTAGCTCGGAGATGAGCCTACCGTCTTGGAAGAGACGCTCTGGCTCATAGCTTCGCATCCACTTCTCAAAGATTGCAAAGTGCTCCTTGTTCTTAGCAATGTCGGGAATTGGGATTTGATGGGCACGCCAGAAGCCCTCGAGGAAATGGCCGTCGATTTCGCGAGGAGCAGTCCACCCCTTGGGAGTGCGGAGGACGATCATTGGCCAAAAGGGGCGGAAAGCCTTCCCTGAGTCGCGCGCTTTCTTTTGATACCCGCGGATTTCTGTGATACACTTCTCCACCGTGGCCGCCATAGCTTGATGCATGGTCTTATGGTCGCTTCCTTCAACAAAGTATGGCTGCCAGCCATATCCAATAAAGAGGGCTTCAAGCTCACGGTGACTGACGCGAGCCAATATTGTTGGGTTGTTGATTTTATATCCATTCAGATGTAGGATTGGGAGAACTGCACCATCCGTGATTGGGTTGAGAAATTTCGTGCTGTGCCAGCTGGTTGCAAGAGGACCCGTCTCGGACTCTCCGTCCCCAACCATGGTGATAGATATGAGATTTGGATGGTCAAAGACGGCGCCGAAAGAGTGAGAGATGGAATACCCAAGCTCTCCGCCCTCGTGAATGCTGCCTGGGGTCTCTGGGGTTGCATGGCTTCCGATACCGCCTGGGAATGAGAATTGCTTGAAGAACTTCTTCATCCCGTCTTCATCTTCGGACTTATCGGGGTAAACCTCGCTATATGTCCCTTCAAGATAAGCCTGGGAAAGGACTGCAGGTGCGCCATGACCAGGTCCAGAAACGAAAAAGGCGTCCAGGTCGTATTTCTTAATCATTCGGTTGACGTGGATATAGGTAAATATCTGTCCGGCATCTGACCCCCAGTGACCAAGTAGTCTTGCCTTCAGATGCTCGACCTTGAGAGGCTCTTTGAGAAGCGGATTCTGTTTCAAGTGTATCATGCCAAGGCAAAGATATAGGGAGGCTCTCATGTAATCATCTATCTTTTTCAGCTCGTCGGGTGCCAATGGGGCACCCTGAACGGTTGATCTAGCTTTGCCATATGGCGAGATGCTCTTGACCTTGATATCGGTCTCGGCCGGTGTAGCCATGTTTTTTAGTTTGGAAACTAATTGAGGTTGGATCGCTTATAGCTGAAGAACTCGTCTCCCTTTCACGGATTGGGCAGGAAGATTTGAGAAATTCGCAATCACTAAAGGAAGATAATAAACGGCAAAGAAAAAAAAGAGAAGAGAGAGAGTATGTGGGATGGGGAGCTTGTTATCGAAGGAGTTGAAATAGCATGATGACGTCTTCCATTCATGGATCCGGAAGCGTCAGAGGAGTGGGCGGAGAAACGCAAACAGGCATGTCAGATCTAGACTATACGAATAATCTTTGCTCTCAATTTAAGTAGAACATTTTCAAACCCATTGGCTCTTGACTAGCTATAACTAATTTATTTATAAATAGCAGCATCGCAACGTTATTTGCTCTTTGTATCAACAAAATTTATGAATACCTGAAAGCGGTTATTATCCACCCAAGTCACGGGAAAGTGACGTAATTTTAGGGGTCCGGATAAACAGCGAAGCCGGGGTTGACTAAAACTGCTGGCAGGTGCATGGACCGTGCGAAGCCACAAGCGTGAAAGTCACGTTTTTTCGTGGTACCCTGTTACTCGAGTACTATTTGTGGTACCTTGCCTTCTTTAAATTGAGAGCAGCTAAGTCGGCCAAGAGCAAATGGAAATTGCGGTGTAGCCATACAGGAAGGTCGCTCTCAGCTTTTATTGATCGTCTATTGATCTTCTCCTGATCTCCTCATGATCTCCTTTTGATCATCCTCTTGTTGGGGAACTTTCTCCTGAGACCTGCCCTGGGCAGCTTTTATATCGCGCTACGAGAGAACACTATGAAGTGCGCTATACTAACTCCAATCCACTACTCGGTGTTCCACCCACTCGCTTCGCTCGTAGGTGGCGACAGCAAGTTGTGCGTGCGACAGCAAGATGTGCGTACACCGCTATTTTGATATAACGTACATGTATAGCGAAAGCGCCAAACAAGCGAAAGCGCCAAAATTATCTACCCTCACGACAAACATTGCGATAAATCTACCACAACATTAGAAATCAATTGAAACTACTCGGAGTCCTCTTCCTCAGAGGTGTCTATTACAATCTGACACGTGCGCGCATTGTGCCCAGTCTCACCACACTTGCCACAGCGACGGGCACGGGTTTCTTCCCTTGGCTTCCGACCACGGCTTGCCCTTATTTCCTGCTCTACCTGCTGCACAACATCCCTCTCATCCTGTAGCTCTTGCGCCCCTTGTTGACTAAGTGATCCTCCTTGCTGTAGTCGTGTTTTCCTAGCTCTCCGGCGCTTGCTTAGTACTTCATTTGCCTGTCGTAGGTTTTGGTTCTCTCCCTTTAGCAGTGCTAATTGATGCATTATTTGCGATGCACCTTTTGTAAACTGGTCAACAGCTGCATAGATTGAGGTTGGAGAGCTATTTTGATGGCGTGAAATCCGAGTTTTAATAAATGTAGACTGTGACATAGCTTCAATTGGGTTGTTTGGTGTCTGAGAAACCCAAGGTTGAGCAGTACCTGGGCGGGAGCTTGGAGGTGTTGGTGTCCTTAACTTAAGATCAAGTGTAGATATCACTCTCTCAGGGTCAAATGGAAGAAGCCCTGCCCCTCGGAACCCGCCTCAAATGTTACTTTCCGTCATTGTAGTGTTAAATGCAGCGTGGAAGGCAGGAAAGAAGTCATCCTTTGTAATATGAGAAATATGAGCCTGCATCATATCTTCAATTTGCCGACCATAGGCCTGCTTTAACGGGCCGAAACAGCCAACATCAAGTGGCTGGAGTAGATGAGAAGAGTGAGCAGGCATACAAAGCGTAATAATGTTGTGTTCCTTGCAGTACTCCTCAAACTCATCTGAGTGGTGGCTCTCATGACCATCAAGGACTAACAAGCGATAACCACCAACACTCCGGGCCTTTGTATGCTTCTCAAAGTGCTGAATCCAATCCATGCCTCTCTCGTTTGTAGTCCAGCCATTTTCAGTAACAGAAATCACCCAATCGCTTGAAAATCCACTATTCTCATACCAAGATGTAAGGTGGTTTTTGCCTGCAACAATGATAAATGGTGGTACTGCCCAACCTTGAGAACTAACGCCTTGGATTACTGTAACCCATTCCCGATTACCAGGCTGTACCTTCTTTGCTTTTGCCCGCCCGTCTGAGCTTGTTACAACCATAGCAGTTGAGATAACGCCCATCATAAACCCAGTCTCATCAAAGTTGTAGATATCTGCTTCATCGATACCATATTTCGCAATTGTGTTACGCACAAGCTCAAACCAGCCATTAATAACTTCTGGATCTTCGCACTTAGCCCTCTGGTAGTCGTATTTGCGCTGAAAGCGTGTCTGGAGCTCTACACGCCGCTTAACAAAGTTTGAAGCCCAACGCGACCCAACGCGTGACGCGTCGCGTGTTGCAAGTAGTCGACTTGCCATATCTTCAACAACAGACAGCCGAGGAGGAAACCCTTTGGCAGCTAGGTCGAGTATATACTGAACAAGGACGGACTCCTCTAGGTTAGTTAATTTCCGTGAGTTGGCTTGGATATCGCGTCGTGAAGGTACACCTTCTAGACGACGACCTAGCTTGCGGTGGTCCACAGAATAGATCCTAGCAGCAACTCGAAGGCGTAACTTTGGGTCGCTTTGCATAGCCTGGATAGCTAGCACTAATTGGCTTTCATCGTTTTTATGGGGCATGTTTTGTTGTTGAGGAATTTAACATTTAGTTGGGGGGTTTGGTCACCGCATCATTTTGGCGCTTTCGCTTGTTTGGCGCTTTCGCTATACATGTACGTTATAGAAAAAATAATAGTATTCTTCATAACGTAGTATCTACAATGCCTCAAAATAACGATCCTACTATGATTGCTCGCCTTAATGAGGCCCAACAGTTCTTCTTAAAACAACCAAGTACATATACAATTGCTTGGGTTGCAAATAAATTCAATGTCAACCGTGAGACACTCCGACGTCGTATTACGAGTACTACGTCTCCTCAATTACCCCACGGAGGTAGCAATCGAGTCTTATCTCAATCGCAAGAGACCGCGGTCTGTCAATTCATATACGACCAACTTGAGCGCGGGGTCCCTGCCAACCGATCTATGATACTACGGGCAGTTGCAGACTTACGACCTAATCGTACGATACCATCACAACGGTGGCTACAACGCTTTCTAAAAGCACACCCCGAATTTCATACAATTCACACGAAGACGTTAAATACACATCGGAAGCAAGCACAAAAGAAAGAGGTGTTTGAGGAATTCTTTCTCACATATAACGCCCTTATTACAAAACATAACATTAAGCCATATAATTTATGGAATGTTGATGAGACAGGCTATATGATTGGGTGTTATAAGTCTACGGCTGTTATTGTACCAATCGGTGTAAAGCAGTGGACTGTTGATAATCCTGAGAATCGGCTCTCTGTTACTGTAATTGAGGCAGTAAATGCAAGTGGTGCTGCACTTGCAGAAGCTATCATTATCCCTGGCAAACTTCATATGGATTCATGGTACAATGATGACCTTGAGCCAAATGCTCTCATTATTGTAAATGAGAGCGGGTATTCAAACGACGACATTGCAATCCAATACCTTATGCATTTTATCCAACTATCTGCAGAGCATATGGCACCAGATGATACTCGCCTCTTATTACTTGACGGCCATGACTCTCATAAAACAGAGCGCTTTCTTACATTAGCAGAAGAGCATAACATTGTTATTTGCTGCCTTCCTGCTCATACAACACATCTATTACAACCTCTTGATGTAGCGGTTTTTAAGCAGTGCAAACACTTTCATCAAAAGGCACTTGATCAAGCAGTACGTAGCTACGACTATGAGTATAAGCTACGTACGTTCCTTTCAGACCTCCCGCAAATCCGACGGCAATCTCTAACTGTCCGTACAATTCAATCTGGTTGGAGAAATACAGGACTATATCCATATAATCCTCCACTTGTAATTGACAAGATACAAGAGACTCGGAATCAAACACCTGATTATGAGCCATTTGCTTCATATAATATTATCTCAACACCGAAAACAACTATGCAAAGTGTGCAAGCGGTTGAACATTGGCAGAAGAGAGCAGAGGAAGCTTTCTCATCGCCTTCAAGAGAAGGGTTTCAATCATTTGCACGTGGAACTACAGTTGTTCTACACCGGGCAGAGCTCTATAAGACCGAGCTAGATATTATGACTCTACGTGCAGTAGAGCAGAAGGCAGCAAAGGCAAGGGCACGGAAATCACTACAGAAAGGAGGGCAGTTATATGCATCAGATGCACGGAAAATGCGGGAAGAGAAGAAAGCAAAGTTGCAAGCAAAAGCAGACGCAAGAGCAGCAAGGGAATCGGACCAAGTAGTAAAGCAGCTACAAGCGCAAGCACGTAAAATCGAAATTGAAGAGCGTAAGGTTGAGAGGAAGCGGGTAGCAGAGCGGAAGAAGGAAGGGTTGAAATCAAAAGTGATCATTTTACGGTATAGTAAGGATCAAAGTGATAGTAGCAATAGTGGCAGTAGCGATAGTGATAGTAGTTCTATTGATTTTATGTTTTAATTATATAGTTATATAGTTGATATATAAGGCGTCTTTTTCTTCGTTTTATGTGTCGCACATCTTGCTGTCGCACGCACAACTTGCTGTCGCCACCTACGAGCGAAGCGAGTGGGTGGAACACCGAGTACTATCCACTCTATATTGCGCTCCACACCGGCCGTTAGCTGTCAGCTGTCAGCAAGTCTTGTCCAAACGGAGGCCAATAATACGAATTTTCTTACTTACAATCCGAGTCAGCCTCGCATTCCGAGACCGTGGCTATATAATACCAGAGTATGCCCTATAATATGCGCCCTCGGACTCCTCGCCAGGGCTACATTAAGCCACAGAGAAAACTAACAAAGTGTAGTAGCGATCTAAGCATTTTGAAACACCAACGGGAGTCGGGTCATGTTTACCCAAAGTCTTATGAAATATCAGACGAACTCTTCTCGGCTCGCTTTCCAAGCTCCTGAGAGGTTTTCCAAACTCCCCGTCTCCGAAGGGAAACCCTATAATGAACCGTGTGCTAGCTTCCCGGCACTCAGCTTCGAGGAGCTCGGATGCTGCGAATTTCAAATTAATTGGCACCATATTGTGCTGACTAACTTATAGTAAATTCTATCCTATATAGCCGCGTCAGACTCCCTTCAAGTTGAAGGTTCGTTATCTCCGTTTCACTACTCATGCGGTTGGAAGATGCAATATGGATCTAATATAAGCATGCGGCACAAACGCCAGATGCGGCTCCCAACTTATTACATTCATATTGATAGCCAATCTCCGCCCATAGCCAGCCCAGGCCTTCGGCCAACGAAGCACATACGCTAGGTTGCACGGAATGTGAACGACCCCGATTGTGCAAGCATATTCTGCCAAATCTACCCTGCACGGACGCATTACCCCCATGCCGCTGTCACAAAATATCTGGACGCATATAAATAAGTTCGGCCCTTCTTATTGATGTGGGTATCGTTTCTTAATTGCCTTATCCGTGGTTTTGAAGAATCAGTCTCTTCTTTCATTTTCTTCAAAGCAAATACATACCATCTATACTCGCTCGGCACCTTACGAGAAATCAAAGTTTTTGGGTTCTGGGGGGAGTATGGTCGCAAGGCTGAAACTTAAAGAAATTGACGGAAAGGCACCACCAGGAGTGGAGTCTGCGGCTAAATTTGACTCAACACGGGGAAACTCACCAGGTCCAGACACAATAAGGATTAACACCCTAGACGGTGTAACAGCAAACCCCACGCCCGATGGATTCAGCTACAACCCGCGCTGCCTCCGCCGCGACATCTCCGAGAATGCCGCCGTATCCACACGTACCAACGCCACCGTCTCGCTGCTGACCACGCACGATAACATCGCCGACTTCCAGGATTACATGCAAGATATCTTTGCCCAGAGCATCCTCTTCGCAAGCTCCGGCAACCCGGCGTGGTTGCATCATGCTAATGTTGATCGTATCTGGTGGATCTGGCAGAACCAGGATCTGGCGACGAGGCAGAATGCTATTGCGGGGCAGACGCATATGGCGGGTGATGGAGTGCCTACGACGCTTGAGGATGATCAGTTCTTCCAGGTTAATGAGAAGGTGCCTAAGCTGAAGGATCTCCTGACGACTTTGGGTGGTGCGGATGGGGGGTTCTGCTATATCTATCAATACAGTCATAATCCGTTAAGTCGATAGCTCGGGTCCCGTAAATACCATCGAGATAGCGTAAATATCGAGATATCGAACGTATTTTGGTAGTGGACAGGGGGGTTGAGGCCAGCAAAACGTATCGACGCAACGTGAATCGAGTATCGACTTGACGCGTCATGACTGTAGTACCTTTTTGCGTGGAGGGTTAAAAGCGGGAATAAATAACTGATATGCCACTTAATGACAAAGATAAAAAAAATCAGAATACCCCTTCGTTTGTGTGATGTCCAGTAAATTGGAAATTCTGTACCACCCCAACCGAAGCGCCTACAATGCATTGGGAGATATGGTGTTCCCGGGGCCTAAGACAAGGGGGTGGCGAGTTGGCTGGGTGTGTGGTAGTGGGATGACAGGGCGCTGGTAAGAGTCGTTCTAGAGTGGTATGTTACGGGGCCTGTCATGAAGAGGCGGGATAGTATTATGGGCAATGAATGGATTGGTGTGACACTTTATTGTGCATTTCTAGCATTGTTTAAAGCTACGTGCATCTCTTTCCTGGCTGTTCTCATGTAGACTGGCCACGGTCCGGTCCGGTCCGGTCTTTTAATGTTGAGTGAGGACTGTTTTACGGTCCAGTCTTTTTTTTTAGGACTGGACCGTGAGACAAAAAGACCGGACTGATAACATTCTAGTCTTTTTTTTAGAGTGTAGACTGTTTGCTAAAGTTGAGGTCCCTTTAAAAGACCGGACTGATAATAGTCCAGTCTTTTTTTAGAGTGTGGACTGTTTGCGAAAATTGAGGACTGTTTAAAAGACTAGACCGTTCGGTCTTTCCTAAGAACAGTCCGGTCCAGTCCAGTCTTTTACATTATAAGTGGGGGCCACCACATGTCATCACATGATATGTTATTAGGAATAGCTTTAAGTGCAATCGAATATTAATAACGTTACTATTAAGTGTTACTGTACATGCATTTTGAGGTATAAGTTGAAAATAGTATAACTATAATAGTTCCATTTACACACTGTTAAATAATTACACGTGATTATATTTACACGTGATATTATATTTACAAGTGATATCATATTATTCAATCAAAATCGATCATAGAGTAGTCAATTAGTTATGACTTATATTTGATATGAGTTTAATTAAGCATTAATAGCAGCTACTAACGTTACTATTAATTATTACTATAGTTTGATAAATATTATAACGTACATGTATAGCGAAAGCGCCAAACAAGCGAAAGCGCCAAAATGATGCGGTGACCAAACCCCCCAACTAAATGTTAAATTCCTCAACAACAAAACATGCCCCATAAAAATGATGAAAGCCAATTAGTGCTAGCTATCCAGGCTATGCAAAGCGACCCAAAGTTACGCCTTCGAGTTGCTGCTAGGATCTATTCTGTGGACCACCGCAAGCTAGGTCGTCGTCTAGAAGGTGTACCTTCACGACGCGATATCCAAGCCAACTCACGGAAATTAACTAACCTAGAGGAGTCCGTCCTTGTTCAGTATATACTCGACCTAGCTGCCAAAGGGTTTCCTCCTCGGCTGTCTGTTGTTGAAGATATGGCAAGTCGACTACTTGCAACACGCGACGCGTCACGCGTTGGGTCGCGTTGGGCTTCAAACTTTGTTAAGCGGCGTGTAGAGCTCCAGACACGCTTTCAGCGCAAATACGACTACCAGAGGGCTAAGTGCGAAGATCCAGAAGTTATTAATGGCTGGTTTGAGCTTGTGCGTAACACAATTGCGAAATATGGTATCGATGAAGCAGATATCTACAACTTTGATGAGACTGGGTTTATGATGGGCGTTATCTCAACTGCTATGGTTGTAACAAGCTCAGACGGGCGGGCAAAAGCAAAGAAGGTACAGCCTGGTAATCGGGAATGGGTTACAGTAATCCAAGGCGTTAGTTCTCAAGGTTGGGCAGTACCACCATTTATCATTGTTGCAGGCAAAAACCACCTTACATCTTGGTATGAGAATAGTGGATTTTCAAGCGATTGGGTGATTTCTGTTACTGAAAATGGCTGGACTACAAACGAGAGAGGCATGGATTGGATTCAGCACTTTGAGAAGCATACAAAGGCCCGGAGTGTTGGTGGTTATCACTTGTTAGTCCTTGATGGTCATGAGAGCCACCACTCAGATGAGTTTGAGGAGTACTGCAAGGAACACAACATTATTACGCTTTGTATGCCTGCTCACTCTTCTCATCTACTCCAGCCACTTGATGTTGGCTGTTTCGGCCCGTTAAAGCAGGCCTATGGTCGGCAAATTGAAGATATGATGCAGGCTCATATTTCTCATATTACAAAGGATGACTTCTTTCCTGCCTTCCACGCTGCATTTAACACTACAATGACGGAAAGTAACATTCGAGGCGGGTTCCGAGGGGCAGGGCTTCTTCCATTTGACCCTGAGAGAGTGATATCTACACTTGATCTTAAGTTAAGGACACCAACGCCTCCAAGCTCCCGCCCAGGTACTGCTCAACCTTGGGTTTCTCAGACACCAAACAACCCAATTGAAGCTATGTCACAGTCTACATTTATTAAAACTCGGATTTCACGCCATCAAAATAGCTCTCCAACCTCAATCTATGCAGCTGTTGACCAGTTTACAAAGGGTGCATCGCAAATAATGCATCAATTAGCACTGCTAAAGGGAGAGAACCAAAACCTACGACAGGCAAATGAAGTACTAAGCAAGCGCCGGAGAGCTAGGAAAACATGACTACAGCAAGGAGGATCACTTAGTCAACAAGGGGCACAAGAGCTACAGGATGAGAGGGATGTTGTGCAGCAGGTAGAGCAGGAAATAAGGGCAAGCCGTGGTCGGAAGCCAAGGGAAGAAACCCGTGCCCGTCGCTGTGGCAAGTGTGGTGAGACTGGGCACAATGCGCGCACGTGTCAGATTGTAATAGACACCTCTGAGGAAGAGGACTCCGAGTAGTTTCAATTGATTTCTAATGTTGTGGTAGATTTATCGCAATGTTTGTCGTGAGGGTAGATAATTTTGGCGCTTTCGCTTGTTTGGCGCTTTCGCTATATATGTACGTTAATGTTATTATTTTATATTTTTATATTTAAGTTATAGTATAATGAACTTCAGTTTCATCATAAATTATGTAATTAAGCGTTACTGTATACCGTTACTGTCACGACTGAAATACTAAAGACAGGTTGTGAAATCATCAATTGACTATTTATACAAGAACACACTAATTTATCTAATGCTGCGAGAATTGGCGAACCAGGACACAAGCTGCATATCCTTGTTCTGGATGGTGATACGCTTGGCGTGGATGGCGCACATGTTGGCCCCTTCGCACTATTAGTATAGTTTTTGTAGGTGTTCATAGAGACAGCTTACCTTCGAAGTATGACACAAGGTGGGCCTCAGCGGCCTCTTGGAGGGCACAGATGGCAGTAGACTGGAAGCGGAGGTCTGACATGAAGCTTTGCGCGACTTCACGAACAAGACGCTGGAATGGGAGTTTGGGGAGGATGAGGGCGGCCGACTTCTGGTAGTGTCGGATCTCGGCGACGATCCGTTCTTTCATATAAGTTAGTAGTGTGAACAATATTCTATTAGAAAAGAATAGCATACTGTTGACAGAAGCCTTGCTCAAAGGAGGGACAGGGCGAGGGGCTTGTTGTGGGAAGTTGGAGCCAGGGTGATCCCGCTCCCAGTTCTTTTCTGGGCATTGTAGCTCCAGATCTTTTCTTGGCGGGCTCGGCGCGCAGTCTTGTGAATATCGACTGTTTGTTGAGTTAGTAACCTTGTATTGCTTGTAGGGTAGGGTGGAATACTTACCGTGGCGCTCAGGCTTTTGCTTGGTGCGAGCCATGGTACAGATGTGAGCGAGAGCGATATCTAAAACATGTTAATTTGCCATATTGTAGCAATTTGGCGTTACTGCTGGGCGTTACTGTAGTTGTAACGCCCAAAGAACAAAAGGGGTGAACTTACAAAGGTTGGTGACAGAAGGAAAAATTGCTAGAACTTGTATATTAGTAAAATAAACACAATACCGTTACTCTACAGCGTTACTGTAGGGTTAAATCAAATGTAAAGAAGATTGAACTTACCAATGTTGCTAGACGCGTTATCTCAGAATTGTTGTAGAAGTTAGGATCGAATTCGAAGTAAGGGCGCTTAAGTGTTGTTGCAAACAAAAAAAACTCCGTTTCTTGTTCCAAATCCGGACGTGTCAATAACAAAGAATAGTACGAGTAAGTTAGCAAAGAAACCACCCTTACATTTGATTACCTCTGATTATTAACTTCCTTTTAGATTTCCAAATTTATTGACTATACCGACCCCGACCAGTAAGTAGTTGCGCCCCTACTTTCAAAAGACGTCCGCCTTGTTAGCACATTGAAGTACTCTCACAACAGTATAATCAAAGCCAGTGCTAACAGTAACGCCCTATAGTAACGCTCATCAGCTCCAAATCGCCTCTAACGCAACTTTACCATGTTGTCTCCAGCCACTGCGAAGTCATATGAGGAGAGACGCGCGGAAGTCATTGCAGCTACTGCCCACACCATTGAGCTCACTCAGAATGCGGACCGACAGGTATAACAATCCTACCATCCTGATATCAATTGTTCTAGAGCTGATATCAAAGCTAGGCTATGAGCCGTGCACGCCGTACCCGCCAGGGTAAAGATGACTGGGAGGGCCTTACGGCCAATGAACAAGCTGCCGTGTTAGCTACAACGCAGCAGGATATCATGGACAGGCGCACCGCTCGTGGTATTGACGCCAATTCCCGCCTCACAGCCGCTATTAATGATGAGAGTGCGGCTATTGCGGCCATTAATGCAGAGGAGCTGGAGGAGAAGTTGAAGGCCCTACCAAAGGGCGAAGGCAAAGCTGTAAGTAATAGCTAAAACATGACGATACTATCTAACATAATGGTTAGACTGGCAAGACATCGACTAGCGACAGCGGTGAAGAAAATACCTTAAAGGATATCTGGGCCAGCAACATGGTCCCAGTCATTGAGTGCTGGGAGCGCAACATTGCCCTTGCTGGCAACATCCTTATGCCCGAACTCTCAAGGAAGGAGATCGAAGAGTTTGCTGGGGGGGTTAGCAACCCTGATAATATCAAAGAGTTCGTGAAGCAGTGGGAGAATAACAGCAATGCTGATGTTGAAGATGGGCTGGTAGATTTTGATGATGATGGTGAAGAAGTGGAGGTGGTTATATCAGAGGATGAGGAGGACGATGATGAGGACGAGGATAGCCTCAACGGCTTCATTGTCGGGGTTCGTGTAGAGGAGGAGGAGGAGGTGGAGGAGGAGGAGGAGGAAGAAGAGGAGGAGGAGGAGAAGGAGGAGGAGGAGGAGGAGTAAATTCACGTCGTATACTGTACTATAGTATACTAAACCAATGGAGTTTTTGTGGTTACTGAATTCCATTTTGAGATCTTCTGCCGTTACTATCTGCCATTACTATCTAATAAAACTATTTGTCAGTACTCCGAATAGTGACTACTGTACTCATAGTAACGGCCAGCAGTAACGGAAGAGAGCCCAAAAGCAAAAAGTCAGCATGCTTCTACTCCTCGGCTGAGCCAAGGAACACAGTCCGACCAATTAACAGTCAAACGCCTATTTTGCAATTCCAATTCATATTACACTAGCTAGGATATACAGACTCTGCATCCAATAAAAATAAGGGCTACTACTCATCATCTCGGTTACACGTAGGCTACAGTAACGGCCAGCAGTAACGGAAGAGAGCCCAAAAGCAAAAAGCCAGCATGCTTCTACTCCTCGGCTGAGCCAAGGAATACAGCCCGGCCAATTAACAATCAAATGTCAGTTATACAGTTTAACTTTATATTATGCTACATAGGAAATATAATCGATCTGTATCTACTTAGGGTTATACACACTGCTCATTATCTTGTTATATGCTGTAGCAACAGCTAATAGTACTAGATATAGCTTCGGACTTTGAAATAAGATAGGGCTAATGTAGCAAATTGTTAAGCCAATGAAACCAAATTGCTGATTTTGTAATTTAAAACTCGTAAGCGTTACTCTCTAGCGTTATGGTAAACCTAATTAGAGCTAGACAAAATTGTTTAACTCCATAATACTATGTTCAACTAACACAAAATAGGAATAGCAAAGAGTAACGGCAATGAGTAACGGCAATGCGTAATGGCAATGCGTAACGGCAAAGAGTAACGGCAAAGAGTAATGACAAAGAGTTCAAATATTACCCTATTGCAATGTGGCATTCTTGTATTCTGTACTACCATTTGTTCTGTTGCAAAAGACTATGAAGAAATGGCCGTCCTTCCAAAAGGCCTCACTTAACATTCATCATTCGTCTGATTGACCTACACTCCTACTACAGTACATTTTCTCTATCCTCTTAACAACATGTCGAGCCCAAGCCCATTTACAATGATGAATCAGTCACAATTTGAGCATCCGCTTACCTCTGACACTGAGGATATCAACTCGCCTTTCGAGCCAGCACTTATCTTCTCCCAAGATGATGTACTGAGTGGAATTGAAGCTCCTCTTGATGAACTTCTTGAAAAACTACTCAAGTCTCCTAATAACCGATATGTTATATGGAAGGAGGATACCGCTAACGAATGGCATCAATGGTGGACTGCGAAGATTTCAAACAACATCAATCGAGAGATATTCCGACATATGGTTTGGACAAGGTCGAAGAGGTCCTTAATATGGACTCAATTCTACCAAGGAGCTGAGGTCCGAACTGGCAATCCTAAGGTACTATGTCAGTTGTGTTGGAGGGCTTTTGCACACCCTAAGCTTCGACAAGGTGGGAGTAGCACATCTACTTTAACCCGACACACCAAATCTGGCGCTTGTAGTAGAAAGGATGGATCACAAACTCATTTACACTTAGTAAGTTATCTATCCAGTGGTCTAGAGTAACGTTCTAGAGTAACGCTAATGACCTTCTTTAGCTGCCGCGTGCGCATTTGGAAAGGGATACCATACAGCCTTTCACACATACAGCATGGCGAGAGCAGTTGATTATAGCCATAATTTCATCAAGCCTCCCTTTTCGAATAGTGGAGAACAAGGAGGTGCGAAAGGTTCTAAACATGTTGAAACCCGACCTGGAAATTCCACACCGGACAGTTATACGCAAAGAATTAACAATGCAATTTAACAACGTCATGGAGAAGCTACTATTGGATTTACCGCCTATGGCAAAGGTTTCAATTGCCCTTGATGGATGGCAAAGTCCGTTCAAATTAGCGTTCTTAGCAATTACTGTGTATTATATCACTGATGATTGGCAATGGAGAGAGGTGAGCAGATTATAACTTATATAATAATATATTAACTTACTAACATACATCTTATAGTGTCTTATTGGTTTCGAGCCAATGACTGGAGTCCATTCAGGACAAAATATGGCAGCTGTTGTACACAATGTACTGGAACAATTCAATATTACGGGACGACTTTTTTGCGTGACAACTGATAATGCATCAAACAATGGAACAATGCGCAAGGAACTTGAGAGCTACATGAGAAGTACTACACAAGAAGTAGAGTGGAGTAGTGATGCAACAAAAATACCATGCATGGCGCATGTTATACAGCTAGTTGTAAAAGCTATGCTAAAGGCCTTCAATGTCGACATGGCTGAAGAAGTTATAGATGTTACTGGTGTTTCAATTACTGATGATACGACAGTCACATCAGCTATTAGAAAGGTTAGTCCATGATAGTAACGCTTGATAGTAACGCTAACTGACGTCAAATACACAGATACGCACTCTTAGCAATCTTGTGAGCAGGTCTGCAAAGAAAACTGAATTATTGCTCCAGAAGCAATCTGATATAGAAGCAAAGAGACTACTGCAGCTAAAACGGGATATTGATATACGCTGGAATTCTATGTCTTGTCCAAAGTCGAAGGCGACTTCACCATCGACGAACAAGGATTGATTCGATACAAAGGGTTAGTACGGCCTTGGAGCATTGGCTGTAGGTCGCTATTGTCATCCTCTTGTAGTGCGAAAACTCTATGATAGTCCTAGCGATAAGACTACGCATCCCAATTAAAAGTTGGCTTGAGGAACAGATTATTAAGGAGCCTCATCTTGATCAATTCGCATTATCACCAACCGACTGGAAAAAACTAAAATACTTAGTCGCTCTTCTGCGGCCCTTTGCAGAATTTACTCATCTTATTGGAAACACGAAAGACACTACAATCAACCATACATGGAATGTATACAATACATTATTTGACCATCTTGATGATATTAATCAAAAGCTATATAACAAGGATACAGCATCTAATCCTTGGGTAGACGAGTTTACTGCTGCTATTACTGCAGGTGTTGCAAAGTTAAGGCACTATTATACTGAAACTGGTGGTCCTGTTGAACAGACGTATGCTCTTGCTGCAATTCTTGATCCATCTCAGAAACTGGACATTTTTAACGCTCCTGAATGGGACCGTTCCCACTCAAAGAAGTACTGCCAAATATTCTTAGATTACTGGAAGGCTTACTATCAAAAAGATTCGAGGGACCAGCATGAGGCAGTACCGCCTTGCCCCTATACACCAACAAGTCTTAATGCGGTATTTCGGATGAACCGGCAGCTACATAAAGGGTGGCAGAGCCCATCAAGTACCAGCTATAATGAAGCTGAGCGTTATTTAAATGCGCCAGTGGTTAGTGCTGATGCAGATACTCCAGTGCTCCTAGTGTGGAAGACCTTAGAGCTCTCTTACCCTTCAGTTGCGAAGATGGCAAGGGATATCCTTGCAGTACCAGGTAAGCTCCTACAGTAACGGTTAAGAGTAACGCAAATATCTTACAAATCGCTTTAAACAGCTACTGGTACTGGAGTTGAGCGCATATTTAATATTGCCCGCGATATCCATGAATACCACAGGGCACAAATGAGTACGGCTACAGTTCGAGAGTCGATGATTGTTAAACACTATCATAGGTATAAGTGGGAACTTGATAATCATTGGGATAATATAGACCATGTCTTTGGCGCTCCTGACCCAGACTCTATAATTGAGGACTCTGATCGACAAGTTGCTATGACGATGGTAAGTAATATCATCTGACGAGGAGGATGCTGAACAAGACCTACCAGACCCATCAACGCCACATAGAGCTACACAAGGTCGCAATGGAAGATTGGAAACTCAGAGGAAGCGAAATTTTGGGGTTCTAAATAAGGACCTTCAGAATGATGAAGCCTCCATTGATACTCCTCGACATTCGCAACGACTTAGAAGGTAGAGGAGGGTACTATTCAGATGTGGGTTAGAGTAACGGCTCACAGTAACGGAATATATCACTAATTAGCCTTATATAGCATTTGGAACCAGCTTGAACAATATATTATGTTAACTACTGCGATAGATACCAACCTTTGCGCTAGGTGGTAGGAAGGCTGGCCTCCCAAAGTCGACACAAACCTGTGTGCGATGGCGGTGGTGGTGATGGTAGGGAAGCCACTGTAAGCTGATGCATTCTGAGACATACGGCACTTATAACTCTAATGTAATTACCATAATTTATTATCTATATGATAAATTTATCCTAATTTCTATCAATATACCGTTACTATATACCGTTACTCTTGGTCACAGGACTAACATCGTGATCTACAAGCTAAATATACTAAACTTCAGTTCGGGCTTTTTAAAAAAAAGCTCGGATGGTAAAAAAGCCTAGACCGAACCACGGTCTGGTCTTAACCCTAGAGACTGGACCGAAGTTCAGTCCGGGCTTTGAAAAAAAGGAGGACCGAACCACGGTCCGGTCTTAACCCTAGAGACTGGACCGAAGTTCAGTCTGGGCTTTGAAAAAAAGGAGGACCGAACCACAGTCCGGTCTTAACCCTAGAGACTAGACTGAAATTCAGTCCGGGCTTTTTAAAAAAAGGAGGACCGAACCACGGTCCGGTCTTAAATTTAAGGACTGGAACACTCATATAAGCAGTCCGGTCCAGTCCAGTCCGGTCTTTACGGTCCGGGCCGGCCAGTCTAAAGACAACACACTGTCTTAGAAAACAGAGCCAAAGGGTCATAGCTTAGACTATTCCACAATGCAGCAATCAGGTGTGTGATGTAGTGAAGTGGTTCAGACAAGTTGCAACAAATGTTGAGTCTGGGAACTCAGGGGTAAGTCAGAGGTTAACACCTCACTGACTTTTCAGAAACAAGGAGTAACAAGATCAATGCTTGGAAGCTTGGAAAAGACATGGAAGTATGTGATAGTCGATTTACTGTATTGTCTGCTTGCCCTTTCTTAAGGAAAGGGCAATCCTATTTATGCTAAAGGAGTGTAGTTCTCTCATTTTCCAAGACTTTCCATGACTTACCAGGCTTGGTAACTATAGTCGACGTAAGAGAATCCCATTGAACAATCTCTTAGGTTCGTAGCCTATAGGAAGTAAAAGGAGGTCCAAGGTCAGAGTACCCCTATAGACAAATTATGTCATAGACAAATTATGTCATAGACAAATTATGTCATAGACAAATTATGTCATAACTTAACCAATCTTGTGGGTAACTAAAGAGCGATGACATGTAATGAATCATAGAGGTTCGTAGGAGCTTTTAGAGCTATCGTTCATGCTCCTAGGCCTCTAGTTGGTAGAGATATGTCATGTGGTAGTATGAGTGATGTCATGTAATGAATCATAGAGGGTTGTAGAGATATGCTATGTGGTAATATCGGCCCAGTAACTAAGGAGCGATGACGTGTAATGAATCATAGATGGTTGTAGCAATCGTTGAGTAGTATTGCTCTTGTTGTTGGTGTGATAAGCCAAAATATGTATAGTGACTTGTAGGTTTGAGGAGGAGATTTCCAAGTTTGCTCTTGAGTTTGATAGCAAACTGAGTGCAACGAATGTCAGTATGACAAACGACTAACCTACCCAAACCTTAGCCGCATGGCCTTGGATATGTTGTCGATTCCGGCAATGTCAGCAGAGCCAGAGCGTCTCTTTTCAGCCTGTAAAATCACTCTTACTGACCGCAGGAATCAGCTAGGCATCGAGTCTATTCAGGCGATTGAGTGTTGCAAGTCGTGGTTGTGCCGGGGGAGCATACCATATGTGGATGATCTTGAAGTGCCTTCTGACCTGTTGGTCATTGATAGATCAGTTCTACTTCAGCCATACTAGTCTAGCTGTATCCGGCAGATCATGGACTGCAATTTGAACTAGTTTTAAGTTATTTGAGGTGTTGACTATTGAGTTATTGCATGTTGAAGTTATTGGTGTTTACCATATGGAATCACGTGTACAAACTATTAGTTTATCAGTTTATCAGTCCGTTTATCAGTCCGTTCAAGCCAAATGTTATCAGTTCAGTTTGAGATCTCGACAGTTCAGTTCAGTTCAGTTTGACCCTCTAAACTGAACTGAACTGAACTGTTTGGACTATTGGCCACACTGAGTACAGCGAAGTATAAGGGCAAGGGGTGAACAACTAGGATACAGAGGCTCAGAGAATTGACCGGACTTGCAACGTATATTATGGTCGGAAATGGTACAACGTGTTTGGAAAGGTTACCAGCTAGTTTGCGGGTATACTCATGATTTGGACCCGTAAATTGCACCCTACCGTTAACGAGAAGTAATCTTTCCTCTAAAACATCGGGAGTATGAATATGTACTTGCCACTACGATGTGATCAGCTGTAGTGAGATGGGAAATGTCATGTGCCTAAAATTTTAGTGTGTACTCAATGAAAATCTCTCTGAGGATAGCATCGTCGAAATTTTTTGACACCTTTGCAGAAGACCCCAAGAGCAGGGTCTGGATTCCAAGTCAATGCAATAAGTTGTCGCCGCAAGATTGTTATACCCGCTCATGAGTTCCGCGGTGTTACAGGAGAAGGTACTTCCGCAAAAAATAAAAGGTATCGATTAGTATTTATTTTACGAGACTTGTGAAGGCTAATCCCGAGCTTAAGTGTCGGGCCCTGCGTTCCGAAATTAATACCGAGAGTTGTCATCGTTGCTTCCAAAAAACGTACAAATGCGACGGAGTAAAACCGCAATGTGGACAGTGCAGAAAGGCTCGACGTCCTCGCAATTCAGATCGCCGATGAAGCTGATATTATTGCCGACTCAGGCTTGTCAGGCGATGCAAGCCAGATTGTCGTCGCAGAAGATGGTAAATCCCTACCGTAATCTGCACGGGGAAGGTGTGGAGAATCGAGATACATGAAAAGGCATACTAGGATTCACTTGTATTGAGAGGGGGATGACAAGAGCAGCTCTTAGATATCAAGACCAACCTAATATTCCCAATTTAAAACGTCCTTGTGTGTATATGACTTTGTCCAATTGCCCTTCAAATCTTCGTGTAATGTGTAATTTTGGCTCTTAGATGTCCCTAAGATCTTGTACATCACAACGACTTCCTCTCCTCCGCATCAGCAACCTTCGTCCCATTCTCCCCCATTGCAGCAAGTTTCTTCTCGATAGCCTTGAAGCCGAACCAGCTTGGGTACAGGAAGGGGCGGAGGTCGAATCTGTTATCGTCTGGACTGTATTGCTCGGCGTGATCTGCACACTCGATTAGCTTTTCGCACATGGACAGGAACAAATGTGAAATAAACTTACAGGATGGAGTTAAGGTTGTCATCTTGTGGCGGTTAATGCCGTAATTCCAGCTGGAGAGGGGATTAGTCGAATGATATTACTGGAGGGGGAGAGAGAAAGAACGTACAAGAACCAGCGGACTTTGGTGTAGATTTTTTGCGGACCTAGAGAGAGGGGGAGTCAGTAATTGCTTCTTCGAGGGTGTCTCAGGAGTGAAGGAGGAATGATTCTCTATTTTCGGCAAAATAGAGAAAGTTCTGAAGCACATAAGATGAAACTTGATGAGAGAGGGTAGCCAGAATCAAAGAGCCCGTTATCACTTACTCAATTTATTGCTCCATTGATGGAGGAGCTTGCTCCACATGCCATATGGGCCGAGCTTATCCACTTTGCGCATGCGGCCGTAAATTGAGAGTTCGTCGTATGTCATCCCCATATCGGCTTCTTTTTAACGGTTAGCGCTGCTAAAGAACATATGGAGAGGTGGGAGAGAAACAGTGGCTCAACTTCGAGCACCTCCCCAAAAACGGCGCAGGATAAGGGCGGGAAAGGACTTACCGTCTGATTGTACGTAATCGGCGGTGATAGGCTCAAGTTCGGCAGTGGGCGGAGCAGCGATGAAGTCGGGAAGAATAGGGAGATCGAAATTCGTGGCAGCCCAAAGGATAAAGCGTTTCAGATCCTGCTCTGCAAGTTCTCAGAGTCAGTATTGCTTAATCAATAAATATCTAGACATTTCGCGAGTTTCAATACTTATTTTGAATAACCCAGAACTCCGGAGATATTAAAAAAAAAAGGGGGGTATCAAAACTCGCGAAACGTACGAATAAGGAAACGAAAACTCTGGGAATTTGCATACTCGCGATCCCGCCTATAGGATTAATATCTGCAGATGAACAGTCGTATTTTGTTAGGTATCCACGCAAACTCTCGTCTACATTAGCAGAGCCTAGAACAAGCAAGCCGCCCGGATTTTGGTTCTCTGGATTGTTCTTGTTCCGTCCGCGTACTGTTGGCAGGAGTTGCGCAAAGAGATAGCTTAGAACCATTCTTAGACGGGCTTGAATGTTTTGGAGAGCAAGATTTGAGGCAGGCGTGCCACCAAACATCTTGAATTTTGGTGCATAGGATGTGACCGTCGTGAAAAGTGTTGTAACAGCATAGTAGACCGTGTCGATATTGAGATCTAGATGACTAAGCAATACACGTTAGCGTTACAACTGAGGAGTTCCGAGAAACTGTTCCTCTTGTAGGGATACTTACTATGCTCCAATATCCTTTGCCAGCGCTTTTGCTCTTGATCGCGTATCCTTGCTACTATTTTCTGCCATGCCAAGGTATGCAGTGTGGAATAGTCTTGAAGCGACGTCCTGGGGCGAAGATGGGAGCCACTCTGAATCAGAGGGTTCTCCGACGATTTTGAGAAGGTCCTTGATGACTTGCGGATTCTTTCTCTCTAAGACGGCTTGGTATACTAGCCGACACCTATTTATCAATCTGGTTAGTATACTAGTCGAGACAAGAAACATCAGGTAGAATCAAGTAATTTCTGGTGCAGATTTTACTGCCAAGGAAAAAGGGGGACATAAGGGAATGATGAACTAACATTGAATGTACTAACACGGCCGTGGCACAGGAATCCACGCCACCAGAAAGGGGAAGAAAAAATCCTCCGCTCGAAGATCTGCGCAAGTAGTCCCAGAGCCAGCACGCGGGGCCATAAGCAATTTCCTCCTCTGGCAGGTGATATTTGATTGCGATTTCTGGGCTAGGCCTCACTCGAAGATCTACCTCCTCGGAGGCTGAGGACAGACTGAAGTTAACCTCGACACGTTCGTAGACGGGGCTTTTTGTGGCTCTGTTCGTCAAATACTGATTAGCACATATACTTTGAACTGTGAGAATTGTGTAGAATATCATGCTTGAAGTCACGTCAAGTATATACTATTCCGTCGAGACAAAGTGGTACAAAGAAAATTGACGTACTGAAGGGCTCGTGACTTTTGGGATCGATAGCTGCGAACCTCTTCGATATCTACGGTGGCAATTATCGTCTCAACATCGTTAAGACTGAATTGTGAGCCCTGCGCAACCTATAAGATTATCGTTAGCGGTGACGAGAATAGGCATAGTTATTTGTACTTACAATGCGTCCGTTGATAATTATCATTGCGCATCCATCATAATATAGTCTGTCACCATCGCAGCCTTGTTGGTTTGAATATCTGGAAATCCTCAGAGTTAGTATTGCCTATTGAAGAAATATCCATATGCTTCGCGAGTCTTTAATTCCTTTTTTAAATATTGAAAAACGCCCGAGGTATTCAAAGGGGGTATGAAAACTCACGAAGAATACAAACAAGGGAATAAAATGCTCCGGGAATTTGCTCACAGATAGATACCACCAGACTTGAGCGTCTCTTGACGAATTAAGTCGATCCTTGTGTTCAACTTCCTGAGCTCATGATGTGACCCACTAGAATTCAACGTGATTTCAGAACCATCAAGACCGGCTCCAAGTGCAGGTGAAATCGGGGTAAATAGCTCTTCGCAGGTCTCATTTGACATACACGAATCAAGGGTCGAGATGAGCGCGTCTCCAATTCGGCACTTCTTCTGGCCTGTGAGCTTCTGTACGCTTCTCGGCAGGTAAAAATCTTCCACAATTCTTTCTCCTTTCCAAGGTGAGAAGTATCTCATCTCTCGATAGTTTCCGTCATTGGCAAGACTTAATTTCGGTCTGATCAGAAGAATCTCTTGGTTCAAGCTAAGAATCCGGGCATTGTATTTGACGTTCTTATGCATAACTGGCATACCAATGTCCAGAAGGATATCCTTACTGCAAGTTCTCGAGTTAGTATTATTTGATTAAGAAGTATTTAGATGCTTCGCGAGTTCTAATGCCTTTTTTGAATGACCTAGAACTCCCGAGATATTCAAAATAGGCATTGAACCTTGCGAAGTATACAAATAGAGAAATAAATGCCCCGGGAATTTTACATACCATATTGGGTCTTCGAGAATCATTACGAGAGATTCCCATGAGTGCAAGTCTGTGTCAGACTCTAGAAAATGGTCGAGGCACTAAATGATAGTTAGCAATTGCAAAGTTACCGACGCAGTCTTTGAAATGGCAGTTTCATTATCTCAGCGCACCACGACAATAATCGATGGTGATCCACTAGCCTCTTCCTCGTGCCTCGCTCCAGACGTGGGCTCAGATAGAATATCATGGCTTTTCCCATACCAATAAGACCGTGTACCACATTTCCACATTTTTTTTCGCTCCTACACGAAGTTTGAATCGTGTATAGCTCTTTTTGAATGGAAAATAAACCGGACATACTATGCGAACTCTCTGCCAGAGCTAGACGCGAAAAGCTTCTCTGAAACAGCATAAAAAAGACAATTACGTACGCCATATCCAGTAATTTCGAGTTCAGGGCCTATGCGGAGCGAAGCGCCGCCGGCTTTGGCTTCCTTGATGGATTGTAGAATACGTTGGGCATTTCCTTCGAAGTCAAGGGCCCACTGATTCAGGGAGCTATATTACAGTCAGTCCTCAATTATCCAGCGAAGAAGGCAGGGAGGGTGCAAACCAAGTTGCCAGGGTCACGAGATGACCCATATTTTACTTTTGATGGTGGCGATTGAAGGTTAGAAATGCAAATGATTATGCTAGACAATTTGGAATGGAGGCAATATGTGATTCTTGGCGAAAGTTAACTTGGTTGAGATGTACTAGAGAAATAGAATAAGAAAGAAGGTTGCACGCTAGTGGCTGTTGAGTCATACAGTACGGCGCCATAAGTATCCGTACGGGTCTGTGCTCAAATTGCAAAAAACGCGTTGTATTTTTTCCATGGGTTTGAGAACACTACCAAGGAAAAACTAATTAAACCTTCCAAAACGATGGACAATGAAAAAACGGTCATTCCCCTCTGTTGAGTAATATGTGTGTGTATTCCTGTCTATCTATTGCTGCCTGAAATTGCGGGGAAGTGGTGCTGAGATCATGTGACATATTACAACACACCCCCCCATGTATCCCAGTACCGCATACTAAGTAGGAAGGCTCGCAGGCAAATCCGTATGGGTCTGAATTTGGAGTTCTGGGCCAACAACCTTTTTCTACCCCCGCCCCCGCCACTACCAAGCACCAACTTTCCACTCTCGCACAGCTCCGTACGCGACTCACAATGACTGTTATTGGTGAAATCAAGCCTCAAGACATGGCTCTGGTTGAGATCAGGGCTGACCTCCATGATGACTTGCCGGAGTATGAGAGGGTCAAAATACCATCCCTACCCCCAATTGTGGTTGGCGTGGAATTGGCCCGTCCGTACGGTGTTGCTGGTGTGGTGGAGTTTGACCACCCACAACAGACAACGGCTTGGTACATCCAGGCTGTAGGAGACATGGATGCTGGCTGTGACCAGTGTGTACACGATCGGGGCAGTGCTCGGGCTCGTCCCTTCTTCTCTGCCTGCTATCACTATGGCGAGCTGCAGGAAGGAGCCTGTGGTAACTGTGCAATGAAGCACAAGTCAGCTGCTTGTTCCTTGAGTAAGTTTGTACCTTTCTGTTGATTCCTATGCTGCGTACGACACTAACACATACTCGGTGTTCCACCCACTCGCTTCGCTCGTAGGTGGCGACAGCAAGTTGTGCGTGCGACAGCAAGATGTGCGTACACCGCTATTTTGATATATAGAAAAAATAATAGTATTCTTCATAACGTAGTATCTACAATGCCTCAAAATAACGATCCTACTATGATTGCTCGCCTTAATGAGGCCCAACAGTTCTTCTTAAAACAACCAAGTACATATACAATTGCTTGGGTTGCAAATAAATTCAATGTCAACCGTGAGACACTCCGACGTCGTATTACGAGTACTACGTCTCCTCAATTACCCCACGGAGGTAGCAATCGAGTCTTATCTCAATCGCAAGAGACCGCGGTCTGTCAATTCATATACGACCAACTTGAGCGCGGGGTCCCTGCCAACCGATCTATGATACTACGGGCAGTTGCAGACTTACGACCTAATCGTACGATACCATCACAACGGTGGCTACAACGCTTTCTAAAAGCACACCCCGAATTTCATACAATTCACACGAAGACGTTAAATACACATCGGAAGCAAGCACAAAAGAAAGAGGTGTTTGAGGAATTCTTTCTCACATATAACGCCCTTATTACAAAACATAACATTAAGCCATATAATTTATGGAATGTTGATGAGACAGGCTATATGATTGGGTGTTATAAGTCTACGGCTGTTATTGTACCAATCGGTGTAAAGCAGTGGACTGTTGATAATCCTGAGAATCGGCTCTCTGTTACTGTAATTGAGGCAGTAAATGCAAGTGGTGCTGCACTTGCAGAAGCTATCATTATCCCTGGCAAACTTCATATGGATTCATGGTACAATGATGACCTTGAGCCAAATGCTCTCATTATTGTAAATGAGAGCGGGTATTCAAACGACGACATTGCAATCCAATACCTTATGCATTTTATCCAACTATCTGCAGAGCATATGGCACCAGATGATACTCGCCTCTTATTACTTGACGGCCATGACTCTCATAAAACAGAGCGCTTTCTTACATTAGCAGAAGAGCATAACATTGTTATTTGCTGCCTTCCTGGTCATACAACACATCTATTACAACCTCTTGATGTAGCGGTTTTTAAGCAAACACTTTCATCAAAAGGCACTTGATCAAGCAGTACGTAGCTACGACTATGAGTATAAGCTACGTACGTTCCTTTCAGACCTCCCGCAAATCCGACGGCAATCTCTAACTGTCCGTACAATTCAATCTGGTTGGAGAAATACAGGACTATATCCATATAATCCTCCACTTGTAATTGACAAGATACAAGAGACTCGGAATCAAACACCTGATTATGAGCCATTTGCTTCATATAATATTATCTCAACACCGAAAACAACTATGCAAAGTGTGCAAGCGGTTGAACATTGGCAGAAGAGAGCAGAGGAAGCTTTCTCATCGCCTTCAAGAGAAGGGTTTCAATCATTTGCACGTGGAACTACAGTTGTTCTACACCGGGCAGAGCTCTATAAGACCGAGCTAGATATTATGACTCTACGTGCAGTAGAGCAGAAGGCAGCAAAGGCAAGGGCACGGAAATCACTACAGAAAGGAGGGCAGTTATATGCATCAGATGCACGGAAAATGCGGGAAGAGAAGAAAGCAAAGTTGCAAGCAAAAGCAGACGCAAGAGCAGCAAGGGAATCGGACCAAGTAGTAAAGCAGCTACAAGCGCAAGCACGTAAAATCGAAATTGAAGAGCGTAAGGTTGAGAGGAAGCGGGTAGCAGAGCGGAAGAAGGAAGGGTTGAAATCAAAAGTGATCATTTTACGGTATAGTAAGGATCAAAGTGATAGTAGCAATAGTGGCAGTAGCGATAGTGATAGTAGTTCTATTGATTTTATGTTTTAATTATATAGTTATATAGTTGATATATAAGGCGTCTTTTTCTTCGTTTTATGTGTCGCACATCTTGCTGTCGCACGCACAACTTGCTGTCGCCACCTACGAGCGAAGCGAGTGGGTGGAACACCGAGTAGTAGGCCACAAGAAAACTTGGAGACCTGCCACGCCACCACCTCCGCCATCTCCCAAAGCTGGGAAAAGATCTGGCACCCGTGCCTTCGCCCGACAGAAAGCTATTGATGAAGAAGCTGCTGCTCAGCTTCATGAGTAATCTCCGTACGCCTCACTTCTAGTGCTCTCAGTGTTCTGGTGCTCTCGGTGTTCTGGTGCTCTCAGTGTTCTGGTGCTCTCGGGTTCTGGTGCTCTCGGTTGTGAATGAGGCCTAAATAACAGTGGATTTCTCTGCAATTTTAATGTGACAGGTCCGTACGTAGTTGTGAGTGTGGGAAAATGGGTGATTCTCCTGTTTTTGTATAGTAAAAGTCAGGGATTTCTCCTGCTCTTGTCTGCCTTCCCCCCTTTGTTGAAATGGGTTTGGAATTTCTCCTGCTCTTGTCTGCCTTCCCCCCTTTGTTGAAATGGGTTTGGAATTTCGAAAAATGAATGTGAAATCTCCATGCATATATTGCATCTATGTCGTACGGAGTTGTGTAGTCTTCCAAATGAGTGTATGTTTATTATTTCCCAAGGTATTCCATTGGGAAAGTTGAAATAAGAACGCATAGTAAAACTAGGTGTAACTGTAGGCGGCTTTGGTGCTTTTGAGAGTTCTACCTCCGTACGGAACTCATCCATTAGCTATTCTTGTCTTGCCTCACTTTTCAGTTAGTGAAGTAGAAGACTAGACTCTTTGGTCTAGGGGGCTGCTTTCCATAGTACAAAGGTAACCAGTGCTTCGTACGGGGTTGTGTTGTATGTATGCACTCCTATAGGAGATGCTTTATGTCTACAAGGTTCAAATGTTTAATGAACTCCTTGTGCTTCTGATGGGGTAGGGCCTTAGTAAAGCCGTCTGCTGGCATCTCGTACGTAGCTATCCACTTAATATTGAGGTTCCGATGCTCAACCTCCTGTCTTAACCAATGTGAGTGGACGTCAATATGCTTCAGCTTTGTAACTAGATTTGGAGACTCCTTAAGTAAGATCCGTACGGTCTGCAAATTATCACAATTAAGTGAGTATTGCTCGTTTAGATCGAGTTTGATTGTGTTGAAGAAACGCTGCCACCAATAGAGCTGTTTCGCACTGTGGGACAAAGCTAGAAGCTCTGCCTCTGTTGTAGAGGTTGACACAGTCTTCTGCTTTGAGCAGCGCCAGTCTATTGCCCCTCCAAATAAGGTAAACAAATAACCCTCTGTGCTCTTTCTTGTTGATTCGCAGTCTGCGTACGAAGCGTCACTAGAGCATTGAAAGCGAGCCTCTTGAATATTAGGTCCAAACTGAAGAGCTAGGGTCTTAGTATCCTTAAGGTAGAGTAGAAGTCTGTCGACTGCAGCCATGTGGTCTGGGCCTGGATTGATGAGAAATTCAGATAGTTTCTGTGTCGTACGGGCTATATCAGGTCTCGTTACGACTGCTGCGTAGTTTGCTGATCCTACTTTCTGTTGGTAAAGATGGATTTGTTGCTTATCTGCCTGGCTGTCAAATTGGGTTAGGTTGTCTGTAACCATTGGCGTTCGGGTGGATCGAATAGAGGCTACTCCGTACGTAGTTGTGATCTTGTCAATATAGGAGTCCTGGCACAGCCATAGGGTTTTCTGGGTGCGGTCCCTCATAATTCTTATGCCTAAGAACCATTGAAGTTCTCCTATTTCTCGAAACTCATACGCTTCCATCAGTCTCGTACGGAACTGTGTTGCCTCCATTTTGTGGCTAGGATGGCTAAAGATGCAAATATCGTCAACATAGAAGAAGACAATAATCTTTGAAGATACAAAGAGGCACTGTGCTTCTGGGACCTGTACGAGGCCTAGAGCCTTGAGTGTCTCTGAGAAGTCTCGAAACCAGAGTAAGGGGGACCTTCGAAGTCCATAGAGTGCCCTGTTAAGTTTCCAGCATTTTCCTTGCTCCTGGTAGCCGTCTGCACACCGTACGTAGACCTCCTCATCAATACGGCTGTTTGTGAATGCGTTTATAGCATCTAATTGTTGTGTATCCAAATCAAAGTAGGCTGTGATTGCCATTAAGGCTCGGAAGGTTTTCGAAGCAAGCGTAGCTGCGTACGTCTCATCATGGATAGAATAGCGTTGTAGGTCGCCTCTTACAACAAGTCTAGCCTTATATTTAAGAAGGTAGCCATTGTCATTGAATTTGTATGTGAAAACCCACATAAGGGGTATCACAAAGTTCCGTACGGAGCTGTCGTTGACAGATGTGAACGTTCCTTGCTTTCGAAGGTCTCCTATTTCCTTTGCAGCTGCAGCTTGGAATCCTATTCGATGTGGATGAGTTTGGAGTTG